GGTCAGCAGACGAGGGGTCAGCGGGTAGAGCAGCAGGGGGGTTAGGGCAGGGGAGTGTACCGTCGATGTGGACGGCCAGGGAGTGGCCATCCTGCTGCTGACCATTGAGGTGACGGCGGAGGTCGAGGAGCCACAAGTCGAACTCAACCGGCTGACCCTCCGCGTCAAAGCGCAGCACCGAGTCCGCCATCATGGTCGCTGCAGAAAGGCGGTAGTGGGCCGTACTGAGCGACAGAGTGCGGCGGGAAGCAGTTTTGTGCGGTGCGGTGCAGTGCGGTAGACTGCGGTAGAGTGAGGTGCACTACCGTAGGGTGCGGTGCAGGGCGGTGCAGTGCGGTGTAGGGCGGTGGAGTGCGGTGCAGAGCGGTGGAGAGGGCCGATGATGCCAGGTGGGAGCCTCAGGGGAAGCTGGGGGACGAGGCGGCGAGGAGGCTGGACGGGGTCAACGTAGGTGCCGGTGGATCTCCAAGATGCCATCTCCTGCTCCATGGCGGCTATCCACTGAGAGGCCCAGGGTCCCGAGGTCATCTCAGCGTAAGTGCGAGGGGTCGGGATGACAAAGGCGTCTGGGTCAACCTCGGGGAGTAGCAGCATGGAGCAGAGATGGGGAGCTGCCTCGGACAGGAATGCAAGCTCGTACTGCCTGTCCTCTAGGATGTCACTGCCAAGGGCAGGAGCACCCCTGACGGATGGAGGACGGACAGGGTCAGAGACCAAACTGGTGGCGTAGTCAAGGCTGCGGGTAGAGGCGAAGTCAGCGACAAGAGCGTCAAGACTCGAGAGAGGAACAGACGGGTCGGTAACGAGGGAGGCAAGGACCCCAGGAACAAGAGGACGAGCAGCACGAAGGTAGTCAGATAGAGGGGGGGGCGCGACAGCAAGCGACGACGGAGGAGGCGAAGGCAGGAAAAGAGAACGCTGAACAGGAGAGACAGGACGAGCATGAGAGGGATGGCAAGATCAGACGTGAGACGGAGGTGTCGGGTCAGGAGACAAATGAGGAGTAACATGAGGGAAACGTAGAGGGAAACAGGTCGGGGACGAGTCCGGCGGAAGAAACACGGGATCGTGAATAGGAAGGGGAGGAGGCAGCGGGGGAGGCACAGGCAAGCGGTCAAGGGAGGGAAGGCCGAGCAGGCGAAGGGCGGACACCGGCGGCGACTGCTGCTGCAGCGGCTGCTCGACGCCAACACCTGGACCGCCAGCTGCACCGCAGCCATGTCCGGAACACTCCATTCCAGCACTCCCAGACGGAGCACCCCCAGAGCGTGAACCCTCTCCAGCACCGGTGCCACCCCCGAGCCCGCCGGGACAAGCCACGTCAGGAACCCCAGGACAAGCACCCTCCTCAACACCAGCACCCCAGAGTTCATGAACGGCCGCAGCTGCTGCGACGGCAGCGGCTGCTGCAACGGCGGCGTCGACTGCTGTAGCGGCGACAGCTGCGGCGGCGACGACGACTGTGATGGAGGAGGAGGAGACACTGGGAAAGAGACAGGCGGCGAGCAATGCGCCGTAGGGCGACCAGAGTCTACCGACTCCTCGACCGGGACAAGCGACGGGAGGGGAGTGACGGGGGCTATCGAGGAAGAGGGTACCAGAAATAGGGGCGGGGAAATCGGGAGACCTCGGTGGGGAAAGCGGTGGTAAGAGGAGATAGACTCGTTGAAAGTGGTGTCACGGGAGTGAAAGAAGCGGTGAGAGGGCGTGTGGTAGAAGTGCCAGTCGGAAGAGTCAAGAGGGAAACCGAGGAAGACACAGGGGACAGTGCGGGCACTGAGCTTGTCCGTGCCAGAGGCACGAAGGTGAGTGAGGCAGCCCCAGACATGGTACGCAGACGCGTCACCAGAGAACCCGGACCAAAGAAGAATCGGCGAAACCTGCGGCCGGTGGGAGAGCGGCCAAAGGTTAAGTTGGTGAGCGGCGTAGCGAACGGCGAACGACCACAAAAACTGGGGTACACCGGCATGAATCATGGAGGTACGAGCCACCTCCATGACCAAACCAATGCGTTGCTCAGCGACCCCGTTCTGCTGCGGGGAGTCCGGTAGGGGGAGCGACTGGGTGATGCCCTCCGCACGACAGAACTGTCCAAGCCGACCAGAGGCGAACTCGCCGCCACAGTCGGAGTGGAGACACAACACAGGGAGACTGTGGTGGAGGCGCACAGCTACGACCCATGGAATAGGAACTTTGGGCACATCGGCCTTCCGCTCCAAGGGAAACACCGTGGTGTAGCGCGTGTAGTCGTCCACGACCACTAGAATGTAGCGCTCGCGATGCGGTCCAGGGACGGGGGCTGGGCCCCAGACGTCCAGGTGAAGGGTCTGGAGGGGTGCGGTGGTAGGGTGAAGCGAGGAGGAGTGAGGAGCTTGGCGCAGCCGGCCCTCGACACAGGGCGTGCACGGCGGTGCAGGCGAGGGAGGGAGGGCAGGCAGCAACGCAGGGAGACCTAGGACGAGACCGTGCTAGGACATGTGACGCAGACGTGGGAGTGCGAGGTGACCTAGGCGGTGGTGCCACAGAAGTGATGGGTGAGTGAGCGACTGAGATGAGCACGCAACGGCGACTTGGGTAGACGAAGAACTCGGGGGAAACGGTCCAACCTGGGGGGAAGCAGTGTCCAGCGTAAAGAGGCCAGACACCGGGTCCTGGGGGAACGTCGCAAGGGGGGAACCTGAGGTGGCCTCAGTACAGACGGCGTACCGCTTGTGACTTGGGAACGTAGTGGTGACGCCGAGGTCCTGAAGAGAGCCGGCCCCAACTAAGTTCCGGGAGAATGAGGGGATGTGCAGGCCTGTAAGGGAACCCGAGGGAAGCGCTGGACATGGGAAGTTGTGTAGCTGCGAGCAACTACAGGACCAGAGGAGGGGTCAGCAAGTGCGACAACGGGAGGCACGGCATGCGGCGTAAGCGCAGCGTGGTCACGGAAGAAGCAGACGCACCAGAGTGAAGTGTGAAGGAGAGCGAAGCAGAAGCGGCAGCCGAAGGAGGAGCGAGTGTGGAGCCTAGGTTAGACAAAGCAAACGGTCCTACGCCTGATGCAGCAGGGGAGTCTGTACTAGACACAGGTGCTACGCCTAAGCTAGCGAACACAGGGTAATAAGATCGAGACACACTAGAAGCGTCCGCATACAGAGAATGCAGGGCAAAACTAATCTGATCCATGTCCAAGTCAAAAACAGGCACACCGTGGCGCAACAAACTGGGCCAGTCAGGGAGGTCCGGGGCCACGCCAAAGCGGCAACGGAAGAGGTCGTCGGGGCGGCGGAAGCAGCGGGCGGTCGGGTGCGCGGCCCGGTCTGGAGCTGGTAATGTCAGCCCACAGCACCGAAGCCACCGGTAGACGCTGAGTTGCCAGGACCGCCATCGTGGCCACCACCTCCAGGGGCTCCTGGCCACCCCGGCGGGAGGCGGGCCCATGGCTGCTGCTGCGGCTGCAGTTGCTGCTGCTCCTAGACACCTGCCCCAGCCCCCTCGGCAGTGCCACTGTCACCGCCAGCACCAGCACCAGCACCACCACCACCACGCCCTCCCTTGGGGCCGCGACGGCCCCGACGCTGTCGCTGCTGCTGCGGTTTGAGTGGCAGGAGCAGCCGTAGTGACTGCGGCGGACACGTCAGCGTACGTGCACTGGGAGGGAGCATAGCCCTGAAAGATAGGGACTGCTGCAACACCGCTCGACTCAGTGATAGTGCACTGGCGAGTCTCTATTTCAGAAAGGGCAGTGACAAAGGCAGTGAGGGTGAGGTCACCAGGGTGCTGGCTAAGGAGGTGATCGCAGGCAGTGGCTAAGCGGTCAGGAAGACGCATGGCAATAAGGTACAGGGTAGCGCAGAACGGCAGGGGAAGGCAGCGAGCTGGGCAGTAGTGCTAGCAGCGCGGTAGCTAGTCTCTTGTGCACGGAGGTGAGTGGCAAGATCAGCAACAGTAGGAAAAGCAGAGAGATCGGGGAAGAGCATGGGGAGGATCAAGTGTCCAGCTGAGGCGGAGGCAGACGTGGAGTAGCGTGCAACTACGTTATCTAGGATGCCTTGGCGTTTGCTACAGCAGTAAAGCAGGGACGCTCAGATAGGGGAAGAGCGTGACTAATGGCAAGCTGCGCTACAGCATCGCGAGAATCACAGATAGCGCGAGCGAGCGCAGCAGCAGCAAAGGCCTCACTCTCAAGTGTGGTGGGATCAGCAGGGAGGGGATCAGGCACGTGGGGGCGGGTGTGAGAGTACGACCCCGTTACACCACGTGGCCTTTTTTCTACTTCCTTCCTATTTTCATTTCTCTTTTTATCTCATCTAATTTGGTTTCCTATTCTCCCTTTTCCATTATCCTTTGGTTTATCCTGCTATTATAGTTATATCACCGACCAGGCTTGGGATGTACTGGGCGCTATATCTAGCGTAATCCTGCTGTAATCCCTTAAAGCCAATAGCCTCGCGTGGTTATACGCAGGGTGATTCTATATTCTAGAAGGGTCTATTCCCTTAGGATAAGATAAACCTGGTTACCTGATGTACTCTGGAAGTATAAAAGCGCCTTGTACTGATCGATAGTGCAATCTTTCCTCGAGTCATTCGATCCTGTGACAGCGGGGAAGCAAGCCATCAACATGCATAGACAGGGAGTGCCCATCCTGGCGCTGACCTGTCAGGTGCCGGCGAAGATCGACAAGCCAGGCGGCGAAGTCGATCGCGTGCCCCTCCGCATCCAGGCGTAGCATGGCGTCCGCCATTGCGCAACCTCAACGGCACCGGGACACAGTGGCACAGGGACACAGGTACTCAGCTACACGGCGGTGCAGCGGCGTGGCGGCAGGACTCTCCGGAACGGAGACCGAGCGGAAGGCCGAAGAGGGCGCAAGATGGCCGAGGCGCACGAGGGGCCGGCCAGGCGCGCGAGAGGCCGGGCAGGCGTTGGAAGGGCCGGCGGTGCGCAGGAGAGGCCGGCTAGGCGGTAGGGGCTAGCTAGGCACATCTACTACAGTGGGACAACGCCATCGCGTACCGAAAAGGATCAATGAAGATCTGGGTACCAAATTACCCTCCTTTGCGCCAGTTACTACTCGAAGAATACCACGACGTCCTCTACGCCGGACACTTCGGTAGCAACAAGACGCTGACCGGTATCGCAAAGCACTATTACTGGCCCCACTTGGCAGAAGATGTTCAAAACTTCGTCACCTCGTGTGATACATGTCAGTGGATGAAGAGTAGCAAGCAGAAAAAGGCGGACTACTGCAGCCTCTTCCTGTCCCAGAACAACCATGGCAAGTGGTTAGCCTGGACTTCATCACCGGGTTACCACCTACCACCAGCGGTCATGGCGCCATCCTTGTCGTCATCGACAAATTCTCCAAAATGGGACACTTCATCCCGACACACACGACAGCACGCACCGAAGAAACAGCACAACTCTTCGTTCGATACATCATCTCACAACATGGCATTCCAACCACACTCATCTCCGACCGAGACCCTAAGTTCACCAGCAAGTTCTGGAAGGAACTTATGTCTCTCCTCGGAACAAAACTCGCCATGTCATCTGCTTACCACCCGCAGACAGACGGACACACCGAGCGCCTCAACCAAATTGTTAAGCAACTCCTCCGAGCAGCCTACAAGGACGAGATCTCCAAATGGGGCTTGCACCTGCCCGTTCTAGAGTTTGCTTACAACAACGCTACACATGCCGCTACGGGTCAGACGCCGTTCTTCCTCTGCTACGGACGCCACCCACTCACACCAAAAAAACCGACAACATCAGCTACAGTCCAACCTGCGCATGATTTTATCACAACCATGCATCAGCTTTGGGATCGGACCCACAAGCGCCTCCTCGACATTCAACAGCAACAGAAGCGCCAGGCCGATCGCCATCACAACGACCACACCATTACCGTGGGAGACCAGGTGCTCCTTGACACCCGCAACCTTGACATCAGCCAACTTCCATTCAAACTTCGACCTCGCTTCTGCGGGCCTTTTCTCGTTGAAGCACAGGTCACTCCTGTTACCTTCCGCTTACGCCTGCCAGCTACCTGGAAGATTCACAACGCCTTCCATGTCCAACTTCTGAAGCCCTATCGGGATCCGAACACGATCTTCGTCAGACGCCAACCGCCGCCGCCACCGCCCGTCCTCGTCCAGAATGAACCCGAGTACGAGGTCGAGTCCGTGCTTGCACACCGCCGTCGTCAGAATGGCACCGTGGAGCTTCTCATCCGTTGGAAGGGTTATGATCCTTCTGAGGACAGCTGGGTACATGAGTCCGACATGGGTAACGCCCGTCGTCCTCTGCATGACTACCTTGTCAAGCAGGGTGTTACTTCTACCACCCAGCTTTGAGGGGGGGAAGTGTGAGAGTACGACCCCGCTACACCACTTGGCCTTTTTTCTACTTCCTTCCTATTTTCATTTCTCTTTTTATCTCATCTCATTTGGTTTCCTATTCTCCCTTTTCCATTAACCTTTGGTTTATCCTGCTATTATAGTTATATCACCGACCAGGCTTGGGATGTACTAGGCGCTATATCTAGCGTAATCCTGCCGTAATCCCTTAAAGCCAATAGCCTCGCGTGGTTATACGCAGGGTGATTCTATATTCTAGAAGGGTCTATTCCCTTAGGATAAGATAAACCTGGTTACCTGATGTACTCTGGAAGTATAAAAGCGCCTTGTACTGATCGATAGTGCAATCTTTCCTCGAGTCATTCGATCCTGTGACAGCGGGGAAGCAAGCCATCAACATGCATAGACAGGGAGTGCCCATCCTGGCGCTGACCTGTCAGGTGCCGGCGAAGATCGACAAGCCAGGCGGCGAAGTCGATCGCGTGCCCCTCCGCATCCAGGCGTAGCATGGCGTCCGCCATTGCGCAACCTCAACGGCACCGGGACACAGTGGCACAGGGACACAGGTACTCAGCTACACGGCGGTGCAGCGGCGTGGCGGCAGGACTCTCCGGAACGGAGACCGAGCGGAAGGCCGAAGAGGGCGCAAGATGGCCGAGGCGCACGAGGGGCCGGCCAGGCGCGCGAGAGGCCGGGCAGGCGTTGGAAGGGCCGGCGGTGCGCAGGAGAGGCCGGCTAGGCGGTAGGGGCTAGCTAGGCACGAGGAGCCGGCTGGGTGAGAGGGTTCGGCTAGGCGCAAGGGGCCGGCTATGCGCGAAGGGGCCGGCGAGGCGCAGTAGGCTAGGGCGTGGGGCGGAAGCGGGTGGGTGGACCTAACCTACTCATGATACCATGTTAGAAGACTACAATAATTAGAAACAAGAGAGAACAAGCAAGATATAGGGTTGGGTTGTACTCTCTAAGAACAGACACCTATTCTAGCCTATAACTTCTATATGCAGAATGTATGTTTAAGTTGACAGAGGGTGCATGGGCTTGGGGTTGTTGCGTGTTGGGTGGGCTTGGGACTACCAAGCCTAGGGGGTGTGTCATATTATATACTTTAATATATATATATATATATATATATATATTTGTATAGGCTTGGTAGCTGTGTTGTGTGCTACTTTGTGGATCTTACTATAGAGGGTTCAACACCCTTTCTTGTGCCTCTCTCTCTTGCCTAGTCTATCACTTTTCTCTCGTCAATTCTTTCTATCGGCACCTAAAACCTCTCGCCATTTTTCATGGCTTCCTAGCTCCTAACTGTTAACTCCTTTCAACAGAAAGCCCCTCCGTCTTTTTACTGCAATTTGAGTGGTTTATGGAATCTGTTACAATGAACACATCCAGCATTGCAAAACAAAACAAGTGGAAAGCAAATGCGACCTTGTGTTATGAATTGCTCAAAGCCTCAGCTTCAGCAGCAGCCATGGGGTCCACTGCCCTGGTCCCAGGATCCCCCTCCTCTTCCTCCTCCATGCTTCTAACAACAGCAGCAACACCCTTGTGCTTTTTTCAAATCATTCTCAATTTATCCAGTGGCACCCCTTTCATGAGAAGGTTTTTGTTTGCACACAACACCTAATTTCGCATGCATACTACTATCGGTACTAGTAATTAAGAAATTATCATACAACGTTACTCACTGAACACAACCCTAAGTTGATTATCAGGGCAAGTTCAATGCGAACCTACACATGCAATAGTAATTGCCCAATATAGAAATTGCCCGTCTTGGGCTGAATTGGGTGAAAAAGAGCATGGTATTGGTGGCCGTCTGTTTTCTTCACGGCCAAAACTTCCAACCTGACGCAGGGTACATTCGTCTGCCACTCTTAGATTGGTTGCGCGAGCAACGCGCGACGCCTGATTGGTTTCATACCCTCTGCACTTCTTGCTCTTGTCCTGCCCAAACTTCGCAGAAATGCGATCAGAGAGTGTCCATTGTCCAGCCCAGAATGCCCAGCGACAGTCGTCGACGAAACGGATGTCAGATAACTGATCTGTAGTATATACAAAAGCCTACATGGCCTTCTAGAAGCGTAAACGAACCGTGTTGTACCTTCGTTGGATGCTGACGGATGTTGTCGACATCCACTTTGAATGTTGTCGCCTCCTTTCCATATCCAATTTGTTGTTGCGAGCTCCAGCGCAGCACATTGCTGCCGTGCTCCACATTGTTGTCCGATTTCTCGTCCGCTTGTTTTGCTCCCTTGCTTGCTCGCCCTACCGCCATGGACCTCCCTCCCCCACTTCCACCCACCACCCTCCCTCAGGGCTTCTCCTCCTACCGCCACGCCCATGGCTTCCCCGCTTTAGAGTATAAAGGTGAACAACTCTCGCTTTGAAACACTTAGCGCCGCTGACGAATCTAGTACCACTTACGACCTCAATGAATCCTTCCTTTCTGCTGTGCAACGAACTCTGCTAAGAGAATTGTATTTGCCGCCGTGAGTTTCAACTTGAACCCGAGCTCGCTCGCCGCGCTTTTCGCATTGCTGCTTGCTATTGCGTCGTTCGCGAACTTCGCGTCGGCCGAGGTGACGACGGAGCAGCTCGTCAACGAGGTGACAGTGCTGGCGAGCGCACTTGAGTTCCGCTCCAACTATTCGCTCGCTTACCTCGCCGCGAAATACGTGCTCGACAATCAAGGTCAGTGAGCCGCGCTGCAGCATCCGTAGCGTGCTTCACTGAGCAATACGATATATTCTCGCAATTTCGCTTGTGCTCACCACTGTTCACGCCCAATGATAGCGCATAGCCCTGGGTAAATGCTGCCAATGCCGCTCAAGCATCCCATGCACGCTCGTCTTCCCCCATCCCTCTCTCACCCTCCCCCCCCCACCTCTTTCTTCCCCTTCCCCCCACCAAAGTTTCTCCTCCCCAAGTACGGCGCGGATTGTTGAGAGACCCGCTGGGGTTACCCTTGAGAAGACCCTTGGGGAAGGGCCAGAGGTGCAGAGCCTAGGGGGCTATGGGCCCATTGACCCGCTATTAACAGGCCCTTTTAACTCAATGGCTAGTGGCTGAGTTTGTGACATGCTATCAGAGCGTTGGTGACGCGTTCGATTCCCAGTGCTAGCGCTGCAGAGGCGCTCGTGTCCTCCGCCTATCCCAGTGTGGGGGGGTGTCGAGAGACCCTCTGGGGTTACCTTTGAGAAGATCCTCGGGGAAGGGCCACAGATGCAGAGCTTGAGGGCCTATGGGCGCACTGACTTGCTATTAACAAGCCCTTTTAACCCAGTGGTTAGTGACTGGGTTTCTGACAGATATCTGTGTCAGAAACTCAGCCACTAACCACTGAGTTAAAAGGGCCTGTTAATAGCGGGTCAGTGTCAGTGCACCCATAGCCCCACAGGCTCTGCACCTGTGGCCCTTCCCCGAGGATCTTCTCAAGGGAAACCCCAACGGGTCAGTCGACACCCCCCCTCGTTGGGATAGGTGGAAGACACGAGCGCCTCTGCAGCGCTAGCACTGGGAATTGAACCCGTGTCACCAACGCTCTAATAACATGTCAAAATCCCAGTCACTAACCAGTGGGTTAAAAGGGCTTATTAAACAGCGGGTAAGTGCGCCCATAACCCCCAAGGCTCTTCACCTGTAGCCCCTCTCCGAGAATATTTTTTTTCAAGGGTAACCCAGCGGGTCACTCGACACCCCCTCTTGCTGGGATAGGTGGTAGACACGCGCGCCTGTGCAGCGCTAGCACTGGAACTTGAACCCAAGACCTTTGGCTCTGATGTACCATGCCAGAAACCCAATCACTAACCACTGGGTTAAAAGGGCTTGTTAATAGCGGGTCAGTGCGCCCATAGCCCCCCAAGCTCTGCACATGAGGCCCTTCCCCGAGGATCTTCTCAAGGGTAACCCCAGCGGGTCACTCGACAATATCCTCCTCGACGCGGCGGCCAAGACTCTCCTCATCCCCGACGACGCCGCCGTGAAGCGCTACTTCAAAGGCCACCTCCCGGACATTGCGGAGGAGTTGGAGAAGCACATCGACACGATGCTCATGAACGTGCTCAACGGCACCTTCACGATCCCCGCGCTCCAAGCTCGGCGCGCTTCCTTCCCCACCCTCGTGGCGGGACGCGAGCTCGTGCGGGTCGATATCAGCAAGGACCGGTGGGTGAAGCTCGGAAAGGCCCAGAGCGTGAAGCTCGGGAAGGCCCAGAGGGTGAAGCTCGGGAAGGTTCGGTCACCCAGGAACACATGGTCCAATGTGACGGACCCCGGGATGTTCAAGGGCGATCTGTTCATCGCGCGCGGCGTGAATAACGTGCAGAAGAAGTAGAAAGGCTGCGAAGGCTTAGAGCTCTTGTCGAGTGGTTAGGAGCGTGTGATCAATTGTAGGCGCTGCATTGCAGTTTTGGTACATTGTAGCATGGGTGGGCTGCCTCCTTGTGTTGTGTTGTGAATGAGTACAGTACCTCGTGTTTCGGTGAAGCCACAACGTCTCTTTACTAGAGTAAGAGCATTTTTTGGAGTCTGTTACAATGGAACACATCCAGCTTTGCTAACACCTACCAGTAATAAAGACAATGCAAAACAAATGCGACCTTGTGTTATGGCTTGTTCAAAGCCTCAGCTTCAGCAGCAGCCATGGGGTCCACTGCCCCAGGCCCAGCATCTCCCTCCTCTTCCTCCTCCATGCTTCTGTCAGCAGCAGCAGCAGCACCCTTGGGCGCATTGGCAGCAGCTGCAGCAGCGGCTTTCTGCTCCTTGTTCATTCGTTGGATCTCCTCCTCCTGCTGCTGGCGCTCAAACCACGTGTCTGCATCCGCCCACACTGCAAGCACAGCAGCATGAGAGGGGGAGAGACAGGGGGGAAAGGGGGGAGGGGGGAAAGGGGGGGAGGGGGCAAGGGGGAGAGGGATTGAGAAGAGAACTAGAGAGAATCTCCTCCTGCTGCTCCTGGCGCTCAAACCATGTGTCTGCGTCCGCCCACACTGCAAGCATGGCGGCACACCGGGGAAGGGCAAGGTGAGGGGTGGGGAGAGGAACAGAGAACGAGAAAGATAGAGAATCTCCTCCTCCTCCTGCTGCTGCTCAAACCACGTGCCTGTGTCTGCCCACAGTGCTTACAAGATAACGCATGAGAGGGGAAGGTTGGAAACAGGGAAGGGGGGAGGGCGGGAAGGGGGAGGGGGAAGGGCGGGAAGGGGGAGGGGGGAGAGGGAGGAGGAGTGGGGGCGGTTTGGGGGGCCGGGAAGAGAGACAGGGAAGGGGGGAGGATCACGTAAGAGGGGAAGAGGGGAGGAGGGGAAGAGGGGGGCGGGAAAGATGGGGAGGAAGGGAAAATAATCAATTTTGGGGGAAGAATCAAAGTGCAGCATGGGACACAAAATGGAAGAGGCGGCGGAGAATCAGGGTTGGGTTGGGCCGGAAGCGGGGTACAGCGACTGCAAACCTTTACAGGGTAACCTGCACCAAAAACCATACCTAGTTGCGACACCCAGCAGCCCTGCACAATACAGAGCCCTTTCTCCTGAAGCCACCATACCTGGCTGGGAGGCCCAGCCCTGCTCGCCGCCATTAAACTTCATGTGCTTTCTCTAAGCTAACAGGTGCCGTTCTCTAAACTCCCAAGAGCCTCCCTCTGCGCCCAAAGCGCACCTGGTTGTGATGCCCAGCCCTGCTCGCCACCCTTGATCTTCATGGGCTGCGCGATGTTCAGAGCGAGCACTCCCCCGTACAGCTCGCCGTTGTGCATGTTGTCCATGCACTTTCGGTAGCAGATCCCCTTCTCTCAGCCAGCAAACGCCTTTCACTCACGCAGCAAAGCTAATCAAACAAAGGCCTTTCTCTAAGCCCCCAGAAGATTGTTTTCCTGAAGCCAAACCGCACCTGGTTGCGACGCCCAGCCCTGCTCGCCGCCCTTGATCTTCATGGGCTGCGCGATGTTCACAGTGAGCACTCGCCCGTACAGCTCGCCGTTGTGCATGTTGTCCATCGCGGCCGCCGCGTCCTCCTTCTCCATGTACGTCAGGAAGCCGAACCCGCGGTGCTTCTGCGTAGTCTGGTGGGACGGACGCATAGGAGGGTTCAGAAGGACCGTGGTGCAGTCTTAGAAGCTACGTATCCATCGACTGCAAGTTCATTCGCTGCTGTTAAAGATTGTGCCTCATTAGCTGCTGACGTGGCCAAGGACCCAGAGAGAGGTTACCCGTACAGGAAAAAAAATCCTGTTAATATTGTTTCATTAGCTGCTGATATGAGCGCTCGTACCTGATCAATGGGGATGTTGATGTCCTTGATGTCGCCGAACGGGATGAAAGCGGCGTGCAGAATCGACTCGGTCACGTTTTCCTCCAGCCCTCCTGCCAAGAGTCAAGCACGACGTGGACGGACAAGGGCGCGCATCATGAGCTGCTCCAACGGTACGGAGACACGATCAGTAGGATCACGAACGCAAAGGTTAAACTGCCTGGAAACTACTCATTGCGGAACCTCACGAAATCGATGAATCCTTAAACTCGGCCAAGAAGGTGTCTACCTCCCGAAACCGTGAAATTTCACCAGTCTCACCAACATACAACGTTGTTTTTGGATTCGGCGTCGCCATAGAAAATCGGAGGAAACGGAACGGCGGGAGAAACGAGAAGCAAAAGCTGGGGAATTGTGGAGTTGCGCCCTGATCTGATGATGACCAAAACCGCTAAGCGACTGACAATGATATATCTAACGACCAGGGAAGTGCTGCTGTCGACTATCAAGCTCAGCACCTTTGGACTTCGGTGGTGAAGCCAAAATCACGGTGATAAGGAGCCATGGATTTGAGCCTGCGACGCCACCAAAATGACGAGAAATTCGGCTTACGATTAGCGAAACAAACTCTAACATGCAGTGTAACACGATGAAAACATTTATGTCGCATGGACGACGTTTTATGTTACAAGGTTTCGTCAAACCCATCATTTCCTCATCCATCTTCGGATTGTTTCGCAGCTGACGCATTTTTCCTGGAGTGCCCAAAATCCACGTGGCCAGCGATCACTTGACACGGGGATGCTTCTCGCGAAACGTGTGAGGGCTGAGGCTGCGTCCCCCAGTAAGGTGGCAGTCTTTCGTCCAGCGCACAGACCCTGCTCCCGCTCCTATAGGCGAAGCGGAACCCGCACCGCCAACTCATCGGAAGGCCGACGTGACGTGGCGATTCTGGGCATTCTTGCGCTTCGGGAATTCCGAGCTGTGCCCGCTGAATTTTACAAGCTTCGCAGCAGCATAACTTCAGGAAAACTATGAGCTTTGTCTTTCACAGAACCGAGTGCATCCATCACCGACTCTGCCCGCTGCTGGCATCCTCCGCTTGAGTTCCTAAAGTAAGCCACGTTCCCTCGTTCGATCAGTTCTCAAGCGATCATGGCAGCCTCCACAGCCGCAGCCACCCAGTTCAAGGTCGCCGCTCTCGGTGGCCTCGTCAGTAGGCAGGAGCAATGCGCTGCTCGCGTGGCGCTCGCTCCGTTGAGCGTCAAGACGCTCACCGCCACCGTGCAGGCTCAGCCAGTGGAGAGGGCTCAAGCCGTCGTCGCCCGCGCTCAGGCATCTTCAGCAGATGTTGCTAAGAAGCAGGTACAGTAGTCAACCCTCTATCCAAGTACGCATTAATCAGACATGGTGTCAGCAATGGCGATTTCAAATAGATACGGCAATGTACTTTCACTGACGGGTCACTAAACACACGGATATGCTCATGGTGATAAATACTGACTGATTCTCCTCACAATGCAGTCCGATGCTGCCTCGACGACGGCCACGACGTACCACTTCATCGTGGCGAACGCCAAGTTCATGCTGGACGAAGAGGAGCACTTCCAGGAGCAGCTCAAGGAGCGACTCAGGTGGCTGCACGAGCAGGGCCACCCCCAAGACTTCTGGCTCGTGTACGAGCCCGAGTTCCTCGCGAGCTTCCCCGAGATCAAGAAGCGAGTGAACGGGCCTGCAGTGGCTCTTGTCACCACCGATGCTCTCTGGATGACGTAAGTGTTCTTCACACCCCTGAACCGACATACACCCGATGGCCTCTTTGGTGTAATGACTTCGACGCATGGTGGTCACGTTCACTCACTCTTGCCGACTTGCGTCTCCCCCTATCCCCTTCAGATTCATGAAGCTGCGACTGGACCGTGTCCTCCGGGGCGAGTTCGAGTGCGACTCCCAGGAGGAAGCTTTGAAATCGCTCCCCATTGAGAACAACTTCGGCAAGCCAGCCAAGTGGGATGCTCCTTACCCCAAGTATGAGTCGAGCTGGTGGACACCCTACGCTGCTCCCTCGGTTTCTGGGAGGTCTTGAAGCACTGAACAAATAATATTGTACACCTATGCATGGCTTCCAAACATGGACTGCCTGGGCAACTTGAGATGTTGCACGTGCGCAGTTCTTTGTTGCTGAGCTTTCAGCAGCTGAAGTCCACGTCACAAGCTGTGGCAGGGTTGCTGCCAACATGCTTATCCCCTTGTAGCCATGCAGGCTCGAGGATCATCCAGCTGGTGCCTTACTCTGTATTTCTTTTCAGCTGCATATAATGCAAATGCCTTTTCAATCGCCGCAATCGGTAAAATGGATCATTGTCAAACACCCAGCTACCATAACGTACATTGAAGTTACAGTCTTGCATTGAAGTACCTATGTCATAGCTACATGTGGGGTTAGTTCACTTTAGTCCCAGGGCTCGGTTTATCCTGGGCTTGATAGTTCCTGTGGAGATACTTCATCCCTAGCAATGTAGATGCTGCATTGCATAGAAGCAAGCTGTGATGTAGCTACAAGTTGGATATAAATATAAATAGCGAGGCTAGCCATTCACACTAGAGTCGTGTTCGCATGTTCACTTGAACATCAGCACTGTGGTCCAGTGGGGCCATTGCAGCTTCTAGGGTGAGCTCAAACTGATCAGTCTGATCAACCTCAACGGTCAAGGGCTGACGATCAGTCTGCACTTGTGAGATAGGCTTCTTCCGTGAAATTTGCTGCTCCACCCATGTCTCAATCATGGCTGCTGCAGCCTCAGGTTGGTCAGCAGGGACTTGGTGTCCAGCGCCAGTCACCACCACGTGAGTCAAATTCTTATACTGTCGCCAGTACCCTTCTCTCCTTCCAGACACAAGCCACACCGTGCGCTCAGCATCCCAGAAGCTCTCTGCATCTTTCCACAACAGAGTGCGCATCCAGGCTTCTGTGCTGGCAGGGCCATCCTTCGCATCAAACAAGCCCTGGAACAGCAGCACAGGGACACCTGCTGCAAGAACCTGTTCCAATGCTGGCTTGCTGCTCTTCATTGTGTCCTGCCCAGGAGAGTAATGAACGATGAGAAGGAAGAACTACCATGAGATGGTTGTTGCCTAGAAACTGCTGAAATTGCAGATGGCTCCAACTGAAGCACACACGCACCTGAGCAAGATGGCGGCGAATTGTTGGCTTGCAACTAGCCCAGGTGGCACTTGGTTCAGCGTGGAGGGCTTCCTTGACATGGGGCTGATTGAGGAACAACGAAAGATACTCCACTCCGCCCTAAAAGAGGCAGACAAGCAGCGGCTTAGTGAGGTGCGAGATGAACAGATAGCGTCCGCTGGTAGACTCGTGTTGCTTATATTAGTACCTGTGTGGCATGGTACTTGGCATGCCGACGAATGTCCAACAACGTTGGGATTCCTGCTTTGTGCTCAATCCATTCACATAGGGCTGTGCGTGCATAATGCGCTTCTTCCCATTCCTCCCTGTCCAGTGCTTGGCCACAATAAGAGAGAGGCCTTTGCAGACAGATGTGCTGAAGGAATCATGACAATGCCTTTACCTGTCAATAAGTTGAACAACCCTGTTGGCTTCTTCCCTCACATAGTCTGTCTGCTGATCAGTGAGCATGCTGAAGGCCCTTGCAACATGCTCATGAACTTGCACCTGAAACAGGAGTCGCTTCTCAAGTTACACAAACCACAGGGAGCAGCCACAAATAATGTATGCACCAGGAAGTGAGTGGAAACGCGCGGAAAAAAAGCAACAAAGTTTTTGCGTGCCTGTGTCCGAGGATCTGTGAAGCCGTTCCCGATGACCATCCCTACAAATTTCACTGGAAGGCCTTGGCCTCGTTGCTGCTGCTCCATCAACAAGCAGCTGAGCTCAGGCACGTACTTCCCAGCATATGACTCCCCGGTAATAAAGAATGGACGGTCACACAGGCCTGAATGCATGTCAAAGAATGCTGAGAGGGCATGAAAGAGGTGCTTTGCCACTGTTGGCTGGTCTTGAGGAATGTCCTCATTGCTTATGACGACACTGAACCCTGTGCCAACGGGATTATCAATGAATAGAAGGCCGTACCTGCCAGACACACAGGCAAATAGGAATCAGAATCATTTATGCCGGGAAAAGCCACAATTGTACCGGGCAATATACCTCCTGTTCCAAGCCCAGGGGTTTCTTTCCAGGCGAAGGCTATCAATGTCTTCGTTTGTTACAGCGACTTTCCAGGGACCAAGTTCATAGAAGTTTCCGATCATACTCGAGCAGCCCGGACCGCCGTTAAGCCAGAGAAGAAGTGGAGTCTCCGATAGCGGTCTTGACGGTTCCGTGGCCTCATAGTATGTGTAGAACATTCGAGACTCAGGAGTCGATGGGCTGACGGGAAGATAGCCTGAAGACGATGGGAATGCCTCCTCTGGCATAGGTATTCCCGGGCGTGATCCCTCTGAATGTCTCATCGACATTGATTCTTTTAAAAGAAGAACACTGTTCCCGTATTCGTTTGTAGGGGCGTTCAACTTGTCGTGAGGTCCCTGGCTCCATGCCGAATAAGTTAAAGGCTGCATGCAGAAGGAGTTATTAAACATTGCGAACGGTCAATGGAAAATTGCGGAAGTCAAGCTGAGAGTAAGAGCAAATAGGACTCACATTCATTTGTGCTGCAACACTGGTTGAACAATGTCCACTCCCTGAGACGCTAGAATAGGCTGGAGGAGTCGATGCCATGATGGCGCGGGGGCTGGGAGCCATTCTTATCGACACCCTTAGAAGCCTGGACAGCGTAGGCATGTGAGCACCAGTGAATCGCCTATGGTGAAGAAATACGAGAAATGATGATGTGTATAGAGATCTGGAGAGGTGGTAGTGGTAGCGATGGAATGTGGAAGCAGGAAGATGCTGTACTCTGGAATTTAGAAATCGGGATGGAAATCGAAATTCTCAAGCTCAACTGTTTTGGTTGGGTTCAGCAGGGACGGGACTCGGCTGAACCCTGACAGCTCGAGTCGAGACACTGAGGGAAGCACGAACTGTGCCAGCCGAAATGAAAGTTTGCGAGGGTAACACAACGTAACATGGCACGCGACAACTTTCGACAAATTCGCCTTTCCCCTACGCTTTGCGGAAAATTGGTTGGGCCAGTGGATGTTTTCTGGCACGCAGCATGTGTTGCTCACTTTCCACGTGGCAGATGCACGTGGCTCAACTTTCTGCTTTCCGACCAGCCACAAGCCCCGGACGAAGCTACCCCTCACATACCGCAGCATACTACTAGACGTCGTGGGGCACCGCACAGTTACGGAGCGATTCCAAACTTGAACCGGAGCGATTTCATCAAGATGCACTAGGTAGCTCTAGCACCTGCTGACCGCACAGATTCTCTCTTCAATCTCGCTTCTACTGTTCTCCTTCGCTGCATTTCGCCATGTTTCGCGAACCCTTACTCCCGCGCACACGCGATCAGGAACCCCGCACGAATCGTGCTCCAAACCAGCAATCGGCAGCACCGCTACCAGGCGGAGAACCCGCTCCCGCCACAAGCGCCGCGACTGGCGCCGATCCGCATGGACGCCCCGAGCTGCGCGTGAAGCTCACAATATCGGGAAGCGCAGCCGCCACTAGCGGAGCGCGTGCGAGCGTCGACTCGGCGAATGTGGCAATATCGGAGGAAAGCTGCCTCTGCGCAGGCGCGGATCCGCCGAGCAGGCGGAGAAGCTCGGGGAGAGAACGGGGGGAACAGGAGGGCGCGGGGAGGAGGGGGAGATGGGGAAGCGGAGGGGGGGGGGGGGAGGGCCTGCGGTCTCCGCGCAGCCCGGGGCTGTCGAAGCAGCAGGTGCTGGTGGGATTTGATGCGGGGAAGGCGGAGGGGGAGGTGGAGGCGGAAGTGAGCGCGCACCTGCAGACAGACTTTCAGACCGTTCTTAACACGGTGGGTGGCGAGAATCCTTTCTTTACGAAAACCTTCTAACATTTGTTTGTTCAGCACTTGTGTGCTGCTTGCAGGAACCCTGTCAATTTAATGGTATTAGCAAGAAATGTGAGGGCTGGAGTTGAAAAACGCCCTGCCTTCGCATTTTCCATCCACTTGTCCTTGGGCAGATTAATCTTTTCGTTGGGGCAGGTTTGCTCTCCATGGGATATGCAGTCATGCTGGGTGGCTGGCTGAGCCTTGTGAGTCTGCTTCTTCTTCCACGTGCTCTACTCCTCTCACTTCCGTTCTCCTCTACTGGTCAGCCTCCCCCTTCTCTGGGTCATGCTGGGCGGCTGGCTGATCCTTGTGAGTCGCTCCCGCCCCCCTCTCTCCTCCCTCTCTTTCCCCCTGGCTCACTCTGCACTCCTCTCTCTCTCCCTACAAACCCCCACACAACCCTCCCCCCCCCGCGCCCTTCCTTCTCTCTCGTTTTCCTCCATGCACTCCTTCCCGCCCCCTCTGCTCCGCACGCTCCTTCGTTTCGAGCTACTCATGCCTCCTTTTCTCGTTCTGCCGACACCCCGACTCACCTGTAATGCCAGCAGGCCCCAACGCTTTTCTCATCCCCTCTTCTGCCTCATTCCTTTAGATCCATCCGCTCCAAATCTACCCCTCCCCTTCCCCTCCTCCCTGCCATCTCCCCCAGCTGGTCCTGGCCCTTTGCACAACCCTCTTCTGCACCACGGCTCGCCTCCTCGGTCCCGCCTTTGATGACATATACCCCTCTCCCCCTTCTTGTCCCCCCCCCCCCCCATCACCCCCAGCTGGTCCTGGCCCTCTGCACAACCCTCTTCTGCACCACGGCTCGTCTCCTCTGCCGTGCATTTGACGCCCTCCCGCCCTCCACCCTGCCCTCCTACCCGTCGCTCGCCCTTTTCGCCTTCGGGCCTCCGGGAGAATGGGTGGTAAGCTCCCAGTCTTGAGCGTGGGCGATCTTGAGCGTTGGGCGATCTTGAGCGTTGAGCGATCTTGAGTGTTGGGCGACGGTGGGCGATCTTGAGCGTTGGGCGATCTTGAGCTTTGGGCGATCTTGAGCGTTGGGCGATCTTGAGCGATGGGCGATCTTGAGTGTTGGGCGACGGTGGGCGACCTTGCGCGCTGGGCGGTCTTGAGCGTCGGGCGATCTTGAGCGTTGGGCGATCTTGACCGGTGGGCTATATTGAGCGTTGGGCGATCTTGAGCGTTGGGCGATCTTGAGGGTTGGGCGATCTTGAGCGTTGGGCGATCTTGAGGGTTGGGCAAACTTGAGGGTTGGGCGATCTTGAGTGTTGGGCGATCTTGAGTGTTGGGCGACGGTGGGCGATCTTGAGCGTTGGGTGATCTTGAGCGTTGGGCGATCTTGAGGGTTGGGCGATCTTGAGCGTCGGGCGATCTTGAGCATCGGGCGATCTTGAGCGGTGGACGATCTTGAGTGTTGGGCAATCTTGAGGGTTGGGCGATCTTGAACGTTGGGCGATCTTGAGGCTTGGGCGATCTTGAGGGTTGGGCGATCTTGAGGGTTGGGCGAGCTTGAGCGTTGAGCGATCTTGAGCGTTGGGCGATCTTGAGCGTTGGGCGATCTTGAGGGTTGGGCGATCTTTAGGTTTGGGCGATCTTGAGCGTTGGGCGATCTTTAGGGTCGGGCGATCTTGAGGGTTGGGCGATCTTGAGCGTTGGGCGATCTTAAGTGCGGGTGGTCTTTTACGCTGGCACCAGTCAGCTCTCATCTTCCGCTCCCTCTCCTCCCTCCCTCCCCTCCCTTCCCCTTCGCTCCCCCTGCAGTGCTGTTGTTTTCTGGGGCGCGCTGGGCCTGTGTCTCATCATTTTGTGGCAGTCAACTCTTATCTGTTCAACGCCTTCCCCCTCCCCTGTGATTGTCAACCCCTCCCACTTCCCCCCAGGTGATGCTAGCAGTGCTGTTCGAGTTGTGGGGCGCGCTGGGCATGTGTCACATAATCGTGTGGCAGTTTGCCCTCATCATTCCCTTCCTCTCTGCGTCCTCCCTGCTTCCTGTTGTCACTTCTCTCCCCCCCCCACCCCTTCCTTGATTCCCCCCCAGGTGATGCTGGCAGTATTATTCGAGTTCTGGGGCGCGCTGGGCATGTGTCTCATCATAGTGTGGCAGTCTGCGCTCATCTTCCTGCCGTCCCTCCCCACTCTCTGCCTCCCCCTCTTCCACGCCTCCTCCTCTGCCACCGCTAGTGCTCCCCTCTGCCTCTATCCCAGGTAATTCCACGCACTTTCTTAAATACACCTTGAGGTAATTCCCAGGTAACCCCATTTCTCATTTTTCTGCTCCTTGCTCCTCCGCCCATATCCCTCATCACTTGAGGCTCCCTTCCCCATCAATCTATCTTCCTTCCCTTTCCCTCACAGCATCCTTCCGTTTCCTCCCCCTCCTGCCGTTTTCTGGCTCATTGATCTCTCCGATCCCTCCCCCACACCCTGCAGGCACCTCGGGGGATAGCCGGCAGCCATTCGCTCGCCATTCCATCCGTGCTTGTCCGCTCCTTTGCTGCTCGCTCTCTCCCCTTCTACCTCCCCCACCACGCACGGCCCTCCAGGCACCTCACGATAGCTGCCAGCCTTGCTGTCGTCAATCCCACTGTGGTCATGCGCTCCTTTTCTCCCTTTCACCCCTTCTTTCTCCCTCCCCCCCGCCCCCACCACGCACACTCCTCCAGGCATTTTGTGATGGCTGGCACTCATTCCCACTGTGCTCGTGCTCTCCTTCCCCCCGTCTCCTCACATCCCCCATCACCTCATATCCCACGGCATCACATATCCCACGGCATCTCATATCCCACGGCATCTCATATCCCACGGCATCTCATATCCCACGGCATCACATATCCCACGGCATCTCATATCCCACGGCATCACATATCCCACGGCATCACATATCCCACGGCATCTCATATCCCACGGCATCTCATATCCCACGGCATCTCATATCCCACGGCATCCCACGGCATCTCATATCCCACGGCATCTCATATCCCACGGCATCTCATATCCCACGGCATCTCATACCCCACGGCATCTCATATCCCACGGCATCTCATATCCCACGGCATCTCATATCCCACGGCATCACATATCCCACGGCATCACATATCCCACGGCATCACATATCCCACGGCATCACATATCCCACGGCATCTCATATCCCACGGCATCTCATATCCCACGGCATCTCATATCCCACGGCATCTCATATCCCACGGCATCTCATATCCCACGGCATCTCATATCCCACGGCATCTCATATCCCACGGCATCTCATATCCCACGGCATCTCATATCCCACGGCATCTCATATCCCACGGCATCTCATATCCCACGGCATCTCATATCCCACGGCATCTCATATCCCACGGCATCTCATATCCCACGGCATCTCATATCCCACGGCATCTCATATCCCACGGCATCTCATATCCCACGGCATCTCATATCCCACGGCATCTCATATCCCACGGCATCTCATATCCCACGGCATCTCATATCCCACGGCATCTCATATCCCACGGCATCTCATATCCCACGGCATCTCATATCCCACGGCATCTCATATCCCACGGCATCTCATATCCCACGGCATCTCATATCCCACGGCATCTCATATCCCACGGCATCTCATATCCCACGGCATCTCATATCCCACGGCATCTCATATCCCACGGCATCTCATATCCCACGGCATCTCATATCCCACGGCATCTCATATCCCACGGCATCTCATATCCCACGGCATCTCATATCCCACGGCATCTCATATCCCACGGCATCTCATATCCCACGGCATCTCATATCCCACGGCATCTCATATCCCACGGCATCTCATATCCCACGGCATCTCATATCCCACGGCATCTCATATCCCACGGCATCTCATATCCCACGGCATCTCATATCCCACGGCATCTCATATCCCACGGCATCTCATATCCCACGGCATCTCATATCCCACGGCATCACATATCCCACGGCATCTCATATCCCACGGCATCTCATATCCCACGGCATCTCATATCCCACGGCATCTCATATCCCACGGCATCTCATATCCCACGGCATCTCATATCCCACGGCATCTCATATCCCACGGCATCTCATATCCCACGGCATCTCATATCCCACGGCATCTCATATCCCACGGCATCTCATATCCCACGGCATCTCATATCCCACGGCATCTCATATCCCACGGCATCTCATATCCCACGGCATCTCATATCCCACGGCATCTCATATCCCACGGCATCTCATATCCCACGGCATCTCATATCCCACGGCATCTCATATCCCACGGCATCTCATATCCCACGGCATCTCATATCCCACGGCATCTCATATCCCACGGCATCTCATATCCCACGGCATCTCATATCCCACGGCATCTCATATCCCACGGCATCTCATATCCCACGGCATCTCATATCCCACGGCATCTCATATCCCACGGCATCTCATATCCCACGGCATCTCATATCCCACGGCATCTCATATCCCACGGCATCTCATATCCCACGGCATCTCATATCCCACGGCATCTCATATCCCACGGCATCTCATATCCCACGGCATCTCATATCCCACGGCATCTCATATCCCACGGCATCTCATATCCCACGGCATCTCATATCCCACGGCATCTCATATCCCACGGCATCTCATATCCCACGGCATCTCATATCCCACGGCATCTCATATCCCACGGCATCTCATATCCCACGGCATCTCATATCCCACGGCATCTCATATCCCACGGCATCTCATATCCCACGGCATCTCATATCCCATGGCATCTCATATCCCTCCTTTCACCCCCCTCTCTTCCCCCCACCTCCCCCCCACCCCCCAACATCCCTCCAGGCACCTCGTGATGGTCGGCAGTCTCGCCCTGGTCATTCCCACTGTGCTCGTGCGCTCCTTTGCTCGCCTCACCAACGTCGCTCTCTCTGGTGTCGCCAGCAGCACTCTGCTGTGCTCCGGTAACATTCTCTTGGTCGGGGTGGGATCGGTTCCTCCCTTACATGTGTATGGTTGGGCTGCTGCTTGGATTGTTGCTGCTTGGATTGTTCCTTTGCTCGCCTCACCAACTTCGCTGCTTGAGTTGCTCCTTTGCTCGCCTCACCAACTTCGCTGCTTGAGTTGCTCCTTTGCTCGCCTCACCAACTTCGCTGCTTGAGTTGCTCCTTTGCTCGCCTCACCAACTTCGCTGCTTGAGTTGCTCCTTTGCTCGCCTCACCAACTTCGCTGCTTGAGTTGCTCCTTTGCTCGCCTCACCAACTTCGCTGCTTGAGTTGCTCCTTTGCATGCCTCACTCATCAACGTCGCTCTCTCTGGTGTCGCCAGCAGCACTCTGCTCTGCTCCGGTGCAGTGCAGCCATGCTCTCTGCTGGGGTGGTGGCTTGTTAAGAGGCAATGCGTGCATTCATCAAGTGCTGTGTATCCCATAGATTACCTGGTTGCCGCTTTTTCTCTCACCATGCGCAATGCTCAATGCATGCTTCTTCCCTTCACCTTCCTGCCAGAAATGATTGGCACGTGGGCGAGAAACCCCTCCTCTGCCCTTCTCGCTGACACCCTCCACAACCCCCTCCCCCCTCCCCCCCTTCCTTCCGCCAGTGATGATGGGCACGTGGGCAAGCGACCCCTCCTCCGCCCTGCTCCCTGACTCCCGCGCCCACCACCACTCCCCAGTCTCCTGGGCGCATCTGCCCATGGCTGCTGGAATCTTCATGGTCTCGCTCTCAGGTGAATGTTCAGGTCTCTCTCTCAGGTGAATGTTCAGGTCTCGCTCTCAGGTGAATGTTCAGGTCTCGCTCTCAGGTGAATGTTCAGGTCTCGCTCTCAGGTGAATGTTCAGGTTCTCTGCCCATGCCTCCCTTCCCTTGGTAACCGGACTCCATGGGTCACCATTCCATCCCTTTCCATGCCATGCCATGCAACGGTGTGTCACAATCATCACCCATCATCAGGCCATGCGGGTCTGCCATCTCTGCGGCGCAGCATGCAGACACCACAGCACTTTGAACGCTGCATCAACATCACCTTCACCTGCATGTTCCTGCTGTGAGACTCCCAGTCAGCCTTCAAACTTGAGCAATCAACCTTGAGCCTTGAACCGTGGGCCGTTAGCCCTGCACTCCATGGCCTTCTGTCCATCCCAACCCCTCTATTTCAGAACTCCCTTCACTCCTGACATTTCAATGGCCTCCCTCTCCTTTCACTCCTTCCCCTCGCTTGCACCCTCACACCCCCTCACCAGCTATGCCACCATGGGCGGCTTTGCCTACCTCTATTTCGGGGATTCGGTGCGCGTGCTGGTAACCGCCAGCCTGGACGAGGCAGGCGCTGCTGCGGGCATCACTCTGCTCCGCTGGGGGTCGCTCTCCCTCTCCCTCTCCGCCCTCCTCTCTCTGCTTGTCGCTGCCAGCGTCTATTCCACCATTCCGGTAAGCCTTAGCTAGTCTTGAGGCGCCTCAAAATTTCACTCTGCTCCGCTAGGGGTCGCTTTCCCTCTCCCTCTCTGCCCTCCTCTCTCTGCTTGTCGCTGCCAGCGTCAATTCCACCATTCCGGTAAGCCTTAGCTAGTCGTGAGGCGCCTCAAGATTTCACTCTGCTCCGCCAGGGGTCGCTTTCCCTCTCCCTCCCTGCCCTCCTCTCTCTGCTTGTCCCTGCCAGCGTCTACTCCACCATTCCGCTAAGCCTTTGCTCGTCCCAGCAGAGGTGCTTCAATGTGCTCCACTAACCCACCACCGCCGGATGGTGGACGGCGAGCGGTGGGCGGTGGACGGCGGGCGGTGGACGGTGGACGGTGGATGGTGGACGCTGGACGGCGTTCACCGGTAGACGGTGGCCGGTGGACGGTGGACGGCGTTCACCGGTGGACGGTAGACGGTGGACGGTGGGCGGTAGACGGTGGGCGGTGGACGGGGAACGGTGGACGGTGGACGGTGGACGGTGGAGGTTGGACGGTGGACGGTGGACGGCATCCACCAGTGGATGGTGGACGGTGGACGGTGTCCACTGGTGGACGGTAGACGGTGGACGTTGAACGGTGGACAGTGTCCACAGGTGGACGGTTGACGCTGGATGGTGGATGGCGTCCACCGGTGGTCAGTGGATGGTGAACGGTGGACGGCGTTTACCGGTGGACGGTAGACGGTGGACGGTGGACGGTGGCCGGTGGCTGGTGGACGGTGGACGGTGTGTACCGGTGGACGGTGGACGGTGGACGGCGTCCACCGGTGGACTGTGGACGGTGGACGGTGGACGGTGGGCGGTGGACGGTGGACGGCGGGCGGTGGACGGTGGACGGTGGACGGTTGACCGTGGACGGTGGACGGCGTCCACCGGTGGATGGTAGACGGTGGACGGTAGACGGTGGACGATGGACGGCGGCCGGTGGCCGGTGGACGGTGGACGGCGTCCACTGGAGGACGGTGGACAGTGGACGTTGTACGGCGTCCACCGGTGGACGGTAGACGGTGGACGGAGGACGGCGGACGGCGGACGGTGGACGGTAGATGGTGGACGGTGGACGGCGTCCACCGGCGGACAGTGGACAGTGGACGGCGTCCACCGGTGGACGATGGACGGTGGACGGTGGACGGCGTCCACCGGTGGACGGTGGACGGCGTCCACCGGTGGATGGTGGACGTGGGACAGCGTCCACCAGTGGAGGGTGGACAGTGGAGGGCGTCCACCGGTGGAGCTCATCCTGCTCTTGAGGCGTCTCCAAGGCTCACCCCTCTCTTCCCCCCGCCTATTCCCCCCCTCTCCCCTCCCCTCCACTTCCCCCCAAGGTGCTCGTGTATGTGATGTTGGAGCTCATTCTGCTCTTGAGGCGCCTCCAAAGCTCCCCCCTCTCTCCCCCCCTTTCCCCCCCTCCCCTCCACGTCCCCCCAAGGCGCTCGTGTATGTGATGTCAGAGCTCATTCTGCTCTTGAGGCGCCTCCAAAGCTCCCCCTCCTCTCCCCCCCTTCCCCCTCCCCTCCACGCCCCGTAAGGCCCTGGTGTATGTGATGTCGGAGCTCATTCTCGATCTCTCTGCCCGCCTCGGCCTGCCCGTCTCCTCACACAAGCTTACACCCGCTGCTGCTGCTGCTGCTGGTGCCCGTCCCGGTGACCACAATCCAACCACTTCGCACAGCAGCGCACAGCCAGTTCCTCACCGCCACTCTGGTACCCCCCTGCTATGCCACACGTCGTCGTCTTGTGTTTCCAAGCTTCCGTGTCTTGGGAACGCATGGCTTTGCGCTTTCATTCCCGCATTTCTTGAAGTCACTTCTCTCTAACCTTCAGTGCCATCGTTTCCACCACCCTTGCGCACCCATGCAGCCATAGCGGAGGGCATCACTCGCCTTGCTGTTACCTTTATTGGCTACACCACTGCATACCTCACGTGAGTCTTGCTGCTTCCGATCTTCTCTTCCACATCCAAGCTGCTGCCCCCGAAGCACATCATCCACATGTCCAGCAGTGATATGCACCACTGCATACCTCATTAAACACTACTACAGGCACTTCCTTTTCTGTTCATCCCGTGCGATCTGTCAGCACTCAGCCACTAACCACTGAGTTAAAATGGCTTGTTAATAGCGGGTCAGTGCGCCCATAGCCCCCCAGGCTCTGCACCTGTGGCCCTTCCCCGTGGATCTTCTCAAGGGTAACCCCAGCTGGTCATTCGATACGATCTGCTTCATACCACCACCATTCCCACATCCTTGCTCTCCGCAGGTATGATATCTTGGACAGAGTGGAGTCAGTGGTGGGAGGGGTCTGCTCGGTTGGCGTGTCCATGGTGCTGCCAGCTGTCATCTTTGACCGCATCTACTCCCATCAGCTGTCTCTGATTAGACTCATCCTCTTGCGTGGGCTCATAACGTTTGGGATAGTTGCGGCATGTGGAATTGCGTACATAAACATCTTTAGATGAAGTGAGTTGCCAACTTGCCACTCACGGCACTGCTTAGAGTGCGTTCCAATGGCCCCTAATCAGAGTAGCTGTTTATGAGATTTACAGTATGGTCCCGACCGACCGTGGGCTATATGTCAAACTCCTGAGTCAGAAGAAATGGAGACACTCACGAAAAAGGCACGAGTCTGATTGGTTTCACAAAATAGCTTAGGGTGCTTTCTGCAATCATCATGGAACCAATTTGGGTGCTATCAGCTCCCTAAGCGGAACAATCAGGGCTCAAAATTGGTTTAGAGGCACCCTTGGGAATCAGGGTACCGCAACAGAAATACCCTATCTCCTAGGGTGGAATTTTCAGCACCCTTAGAAAATCAGGGTGAATTCGTAAAAACTAGTCAATACCCTGTTTGAGTCAGGGTACTAATGCCATCACCCTGTCCACTGCGCGGTTAACAGCTACTACAATTTCAACTTCTTACTAGCAAGCATACAAGCAGGATCACTACAGCAAAGAATCAATAGCCTCTCCTACTTCAGCTACTTCCGTCAGCATTGCACCACTGCAGAGATACAGCAACAGCGGTGAGGGCAGTAACAGCTACAGTGTTCCTTCCTTCAGCGGATGAAGCTGCTGCTGGAGGTGCTGAAGGGGAGGAAACGCAGGGGCAAGGACATGATGATGCGCAGGGGGAGGAGCGAGAGACTAACAGAGCAGCGGGAGACTAAGGGCATATTCGTGAGTTTCGACTCATTTCGCTCATGAATACGCCCTTACGCCCTTAGTTTTGAATCGCATGCGCAGCGAGAGACTAAGGGCGTATTCATGAGTTAGCATCAGAAACAAAATCAGAATCAAAGCCGCGCAAATCCGAACCGAACCAAACCTCATTTCACTCTTGCACCTTACTTTACCGTGCAAGTCTGAATTCGAATCTGTTTCTGGTGCTACCTCAGGAATACGCCTTGAGGGAGCAGCGAGATACTAAGGGAGCAGCGAGAGACTACGGTAAGAGAGCAGCGAGAGACTAAGGGAGCAGCGAGAGATTACGGGAGCAGCGAGAGACTACGGGAGCAGAGAGAGACTACGGGAGCAGAGAGAGACTACGGGAGCAGCGAGACACTACTGGAGCAGCGAGAGAGTATGGGAGCAACGAGAGACTAACAAGGCTGGGAACGAGCGAGAGAGACTAAGGCAGGGAACAGAGACACTGGGGGAGGGAGCGGCCAAAACGAAAATCTGTTGGTGCGAAGTGCCGCGGGATTCGGTGTAGGTGGGCGGGGCTGCCTGCCTGCGTGGCAGATTCTATCAGAAATTGAAGTGTTGATGATACAGAGAGAGTACACACAATATAGCTAAGTGTTGTACCCTCTAAGAGGCTACCCTATACAGTCTATACAAACATAACACATAGACATGTTTGACACACCCCCTAGACTGCATAGGGGAAAGTCCTAAACAAACAGCTCAGGGCGGCACTACTAGTCCAACCTCTGAGACAAGGGTCTGAGCGACCAGTCAGAAGGAGTACAGACAAGGCAAGCACAAGAGCAGGGCGGTATTACTAGTCCAGCCACTGGGAGAGGACACAAGTCCAGTCTGAGTATACATATAAAGGACAGTACAAAGTCAATGTCCTAGCAAGTGAGAGGCTACAGGAACTAGACCAAGCTGTACACAGTGCCGCTGATGATCTTTAGGCGCAAGTGCCTTCGTAAAGATATCAGCCGTGTTGGCACCTGAGGCCAAGTGTACTACGCGAGCCTGACGTCGCTGCTGCAGCTCACGCAGGAGGAAGTACCGCAGCTGAATGTGCTTCGCTCTGCCCTCGAGTCGAGGCTCCTGACACAGGAGGATCATGGCCCTGTTGTCAGCGAACAGGACCGGGGCAGAGCTAGGCCGCTCACCTAAGTCAGTGAGCAAGAAGGTCAGCCAGCGGAGCTCCTGTGCCGCCATGGCACCGGCATAGATCTCAGCCTCACATCTGGACTGTGCAACAGACGAGGAGCGAGTAGCTCTCCACGAGACGGCACCTGAGCCAAGGCTGAAGCAGTAGCCCTGGGTAGACCGGAGAGTCTCAGCGTCGTCTGCCCACGAAGCGTCTGTGTGCCCAGTAAGGATCGCTGGCCTGCGTCCTCCTAGCACTAACCCCATGCCCGATGTACTAGCAAGATAACGCAGAACCCTCTTAGCGGCAGACCAGTGCTGCGGTCGGTGTCTGCCTGTGGCCACAAAGCGAGCCAGGATGCTGAGAGGGTATGCGAGATCTGGGCGAGTGCAAGTCATCAGGTACATGAGGCAACCCACCAGCTCTGCGTAGGGGCCGCTGGGCTCTACCAACTCCTCAGGCACTGGAGCGGAGAGCCTGTGGTCTACAGGCAGAGGGGTGGGCTGTGCAGAGGAGAACTGAAGGCTGAACCTCTGAAGGACCTGGCGCACCAAGTGTGACTGAGTCAGGGTGATGGTGCGCGCAGCTCTGTCCCTTGAGATCTGCAAGCCAAGGTAACGGCGCAGTTCTCCAAGGTCAGTGCAGGTGTGTCTCTTCAGCAGCTCTGCCTTCACGGAGGCCAGCGCGTCCCTGTCTGCTGTGGCAAAGACCAGGTCGTCGACGTAAACGAGGATGTAGAACGGAGTCTGGCCAGCACGAACGAAGAGTGAAGGGTCTGCAGAAGACGGAAAGAACTGCAGGTCAGCAAGCGTAGCACGCAGAGTGTCGTGCCACTCACGGGGAGCCTGGCGCAGGCCGTAGACGGGGCGCCGCAGGAGCCACTGGGTCCCAGGAGGGAAGGTGCCAGTAAAGCCCGGAGGACGGCGCAGGTAGACCTGCTCGTGTAGACTGCCCTGAAGGAAGGCAGTGGAGAAGTCAAGTGAGTGAAGCTCGTAGTCACGCTGAGCAGCTAGGTGTAATAGAACCCGAAGAGTAGTCATCTTCGGGGTCGGGGCGAAAGTCTGGAAGAAGTCCACCCCCTCGCGCTGACTGAAGCCTCTAGCCACATAGCGCGCCTTGAAGACAGGCGGCTCTCCAGGAGGGCGCTTCACCTTGAAGAGCCAGCGGCCATCGACTACGTTCACCCCAGGCGGGGGAACTGCGTCGACGAAGGTGCCGGTGGATCTCCAAGATGCCATCTCCTGCTCCATGGCAGCTATCCACTGCGAGGCCCAGGGTCCCGAAGTCGCCTCAGCGTAAGTGCGAGGGGTCGGGATGTCGAAAGCGTCTGGGTCACCCTCAGGGACTAGTAGCATGGAACAGAGATGGGGAGCAGCCTCGGAGAGGAAAGCAAGCTCGAACTGGCGGTCCTCCAGGACGTCACTGCCAAGGGCAGGAGCACCCCCGACAGACGGAGGACAGGCAGGGTCAGAGACCAGAGCGGTGGCGTAGTCAAGGCGGCGGGTAGAGGCGAAGTCAGCGACAGCAGCGACAAGAGCGTCAAGGCACGAGACCGGAACAGACGGGTCGGTAACGAGGGAGGCAAGGACCCGAGGAACGAGAGGACGAGCGGCACGAAGGTAGTCGGACAGCGGGGGGGGCGCAACAACAAGGGAGGACGGAGGAGGCGACGGCAGAAGGGGAGGACGAGACGCGTGTCAACGAAGCAACATAGGGTGGGAGCGCAAGACAGGCGAGGCAGGACGAGCACGGGAGGGACGGTGAGACCAGACGTGGGACGGAGGAGTCGGGTCAGGAGACAGGGGAGGGGACACAGGAGGGGAACGAGGGGGGAGACGGGCCGGGGACGGATCCGGCGGAGGGAAAACAGGGCCGTAGACAGGAAGAGGAGGAGACGGGCGGGGAGGAACCGACGCAGGGTCGGGGGACGGAAGGCCGAGCAGGCGAAGGGCGGACACCGGTGGGAACTGCTGCTGCGGCGGCACAACGGCGACACCTGGACCGCAAGCTGCTCCTCGGCTACCACCGGCACTCTCCACACCCGCACCCCCAGAGGGACCACCCGCAGGGCGACCGGGACGAGCACCCCCAGAGTCAGCGAACAGGGGCGGCGACGGCGGCGGCGGCGGCGGCAGCGGCGACGGCGGCGGCGGCGGCAGCGGCGACGGCGACGGCTGCAGCGGCGGCAGAGGCGGTGGAGGAGGGGACTGGGGAGGGGACACCTGGGGAGGGGCGGCCGGCGAGGACTGCACCGGAGGGCCACCAGAGTCAGAAGACTCCTCAACCGGGTCCACGGACGGAAGGGGGGTGACGTGGGAGACACCAGAGGGGGCGGGACGGGGAGGAGGAGGAGGAGGGGCAGGGACTACCGGGGAAGGGGTGACCAGGAACAGGGGGGGGGTAACCGGGGGACCACGGTGGGGGAAGCGGCGGTAGTAGGAGACGGACTCGTCAAAGGTGACGTCACGAGAGTGAAAGAAGCGGTGAGACGGCGGGTGGTAAAAGTGCCAGTCGGACGCGTCAAGGGGAAAACCGAGGAAGACGCAGGGAAGGGTGCGGGCAGTGAGCTAGTCCGTGCCGGAGGCACGGACGTGAGCAAGGCAGCCCCAGACGTGGAACGCAGACGCGTCACCAGGAGACCCAGTCCACAGACGGGTCGGCGAAACCTGCGGCTGCTGAGGGTGCGGCCACAGGTTAAGCTGGTGAGAAGCGTAGCGCACAGCGAACGGCCACAGAAAATGGGGTGCACCGGCATGGACCATGGAGGTGCGAGCGACCTCCATGACCAAACCGATGCGTCGCTCAGCGACCCCATTCTGCTGTGGGGAGTCTGGTAGGGTGAACGTCTGTGTGATGCCCTCCGCACGACAAAAGCGACCAAGGACACCGGAGGCAAACTCGCCACCACGGTCTGAGTGAAGACGCAAGACAGGGAGACCGCGGTGGACACGCGCAGAGACAAGCCAGGGGATGAGGGTGTTAGGCACGTCGGCCTTGCGCTCCAGGGGAAAGACTGTGGTGTAACGAGTGAAGTCGTCGACAAGCACAAGGAAGCAGCGCTTGCGACGCGGCCCAGGGATGGGGGCGGGGCCCTAGACGTCTAGGTGCAGGGTCTGCAGCGGCGCGGCGGTAGGGGGGAACGAGGAGGAGTGAGGGGCACGGCGAAGCCGACCCTCGACACAAGGTGTGCAAGGTGGAGCTGGGGAGGAGGGAAACGCGGGGAGTGAACCTGGGAGACCAAGGACAAGACCGTGCTGGGACATGTGACGCAGACGCAGGAGCGCAGGGTGACCTAGGCGGTGGTGCCACAGGAGGGTCGGGTGAGTGAGGGAGCGACAGGAGCAGGCAGCAGCAACCTGGGTAGACACAGCCACCTGAGGGGGCGCTCCAGCCGGGGGGGGCACGGTGTCCAGAGTGAACAGGCCGGATACCGGGTCCCGGGGGAACGTGGACAGGGGGGCACCAGTGGCGGCCTCAGTACAGACAGCATACCGCTCGTGACCAGGGAACGTAGTGGTGACGCCAAGGTCCTGGAGGCAGCCGACACCAACTAGGTTCCTGGAGAACGAGGGGATATGCAGACCTGTAAGAGAGCCCGACGGAACCGCCGGACAGGGAAGGGTGGTGGAACTGCGGGCGACTACCGGACCGCCGGAGGGGTCAGCAAGAGAAACGGCAGCAGGAACAGGAAGCGGCGTCAGGGTGGTGGAGTCGCGGAAGAAACACCGAGAGGCGCCAGAGTCCAAGGTGAAGGAAAGCGAAGCCGAGGGGGCTGGCGACGGAACGACGGCAGAAGCACCAAGACTACACAAAGCAGGGGATCCTACGCCTGACGCAGCAGGGGAGGGTACACTAGGCACACCTACACTAGGCAACAGTGAGTAATAAGCCGGAAGCACACTAGAGTCATCAGCATACATCACATGCAGAGCAGAAACAATGGCATCCATGTCCATATCAAAGATCTGAATCTGTCGACTAAGCAAACTGTGCCAGTCCGGGAGGTCTGGCGACGGGCCGAAGCGCTGACGAAAGAGGTCGTCCAGGCGACGAAAACAGCGGGGAGTGGAGTGACCGATCTTACCGCAAACGAAGCCGCGGCGAGGACCGGTCTGGATCTGGTACTGACAACGCCCGCCGGCAGAGCCACCACGCGGCACATCACCACGCGCCCGTCCACCGCCAGCGCCGGGCCACCCTGGCGGGAGGACACTCGTCTGCCGCGTCTGCAACGGCTGCTGCGGCTGCAGGGGCGGCGACTCAGCTGGACTGGGCAGGGTCCCCTCGTCCGCTCCAGCACCAGGCAACCCGACCCCACCACTACCCCCGCCCGCACCCCCGCCGCCCCCTCCGCCGCGCCCAGCCTTGGGGCGGCGGCCCTTCCCAGAACGGGCCTGCGCTGCAGCAGCAGTCTCAGCCACTGCGGCAGAGCCGTCGGAGAAGGTGCACTGAGCGGGGGCACAACCCTGAAAGATAGGGACAGGCACGACACCGCTCGCCTGGGCGATGGAGCGGTGACGGGTCTCTATTACAGTCAGGGTGTCGACAAAGTCAGTGAGGGTGAGGTCTGCGGGGTGAACACTAAGGAAGCGGTCGCGGGCGACAGCAAGGCGGTCAGGGAGGCGGGTGGCAAGCAGGTAGAGGGTAGAGGTAATGGGCGGCTGGTGGGCTCTAAGCTGTGCGTCAGTGCAGGCGGCGCGCCAGGTCTCCTCTATTGAGCGCAGGTGGGCAGCGAGGTCAGAGACAGTGGGGAACGACGCAAGGTCAGGAAAGAGCAGCGGGAGGATCAGGCGACCCACCGAGGCAGCCGGAGGGGTGGAATAGCGCTTGATGACAGCATCTAAGTATGCCTGAGCAGTAGTGAGGGATCTAAAGCGAGGAAGCTCGGACGGGGGGAGGGCGTTGCTAATGGCAAGCTGGGCGACAGCATCGCGAGAAAGCCAGACAGAGCGCGCACGGGCAGTGGCAGCAGTAGACTCACGCTCAGTGGGTGTGGGGTCAGCGGGCAGAATAGCAGGAGGGTCTGGGCAGGGGAGCGTACCGTCAAGATGTGCGGAAAGCGGTTCACCATCCTGCCGCTGGCCAGTGAGTTGGCGGCGGAGGTCGGCAAGCCACGCCTCGAACTCTAGGGGCTGACCTTCAGCGTCGAAGCGAAGCTCCGCCGCCATCAGGAACAGTCCAGTGCGGTGCAGGGCGGTGCAGTGCAGTGCAGTGCGGTACAGTGCGGTGCAGTGCGGTGCAGTGCGGTGCAGTGCGGTGCAGTGCGGTACAGTGCGGTGCAGGGCGGTCCAGTGCGGTGCAGTGCAGTGCAGTGCGGTACAGTGCGGTGCAATGCGGTGCAGTGCGGTGCAGTGCGGTGCAGTGAGGTGCAGTGGCGGTACTGTGCAGGGCTGTGCTGGGCAAGGTGGGGGGGAACTGTACCAGGGAGGAGGACGGGGCCGGGGCAGCGGGGCCGGGCAGGTGCTACCGGGCCGGGCGAGGACGCCGGGGCCGGGCTGGCGCGACGGGGCCGGGCGGGCGCGACAAGGCCGGGCTGGTGCGACAGGGCCGGGCCGGGGCGACGGAGCCGGGCGAGCGCGACGGGGCCGGGCAGGGGCGACTAGGCCAGGCGGGGGCGACAGGGCCGGGCCGGTGCGACGGCGCCGGGCGGGCGCGACAGGGCCGGGCTGATGCGACGGGGCCGGGCGGCTGCGACGGGGCCGGGCGAGCAGGACGGGGCCGAGCGTGGGCGACGGGGCCAGGCTGGTGCGACAGGACCGGGCGGGCGCGACGGGGGGCCCAGGAGGGGCGCTGCAGGGGCCCAGGAGGGGCGCGACAGGGCCCAGGAGGGGCGCTACGGGGCCCAGGAGGGGCGCGACGGGGCCTGGGAGGGGCGCGACGGGGCCTGGGAGGGACGCGACGGGGCCCAGGAGGGGCGCTACGGGGCCCAGGAGGGGCGCGACAGGTCCCAGGTGGGGCGCTACAGGGCCTGGGAGGGGCGCGTCGGGGCCCAGGAGGGGCGCTACGGGGCCCAGGAGGGGCGCGACGGGTCCCAGGAGGGGCGCTACAGGGCCTGGGAGGGGCGCGACGGGGCCCAGGAGGGGCGCTACGAGGCCCAGGAAGGGCGCGACGGGTCCCAGGAGGGGCGCTACGGGGCCTGGGAGGGGCGCGACGGGACCCGGGAGGGGCGCTACGGGGCCTGGGAGGGGCGCGACGGGACCCAGGGGGGGGCGCGACGGGGTCTGGGAGGGGCGCGACAGAGCCCAGGAGGGGCGCTACAGGGCCCAGAGAGGGCGCGACGGGGCCCAGGAGGGGCGCTACGGGGCCCAGGAGGGACGCTACGGGGCCCAGGAGGGGCGCTACGGGGCCCAGGAGGGGCGCGACGGGGCCTGGGAGGGGGCGCGACGGGGCCTGGGAAGGGGCGCGACGGGGTCCAGGAAGGAGCGCGACGGGGCCCAGGGAGGGGCGCGACGGGTCCCAGGAAGGGGCGCGACGGGGCTAGGAGGGGGTCGCGACGGGGCTAGGGGGGCGAGCGGAAGCGGTAGGTGGGGGGGGGGGATCCTACCTACGCGTGATACCATATCAGAAATTGAAGTGTTGATGATACAGAGAGAGTACACACAATATAGCTAAGTGTTGTACCCTCTAAGAGGCTACCCTATACAGTCTATACAAACATAACACATAGACATGTTTGACAGATTCAACAGTTGGCATATTTCGAGGGTTGGGAGTTATCTGTTTCAGGGTGTTTTTTGGCGCACCCTGATTGGTCAGGGTAATAAGACGAACACTCTTGCTACAACAGGGTAAAATATTCCTTACACTTTCTGAGAAAGGGTCAGAGAAAAATTGGCCTTACAAAATCAGGGTAATCCTGAAAAAGCGGCCGCTGGCAAGGGTAATCAGGGTGAAACACCCTTCAAATTTGAGCCCTGGGAACAATCCCTTCCTCATCCGTAGCATGATATGCTAGTTTCTAGGAACCTTCCTGCCCCATGTGCAGAGCGGAGTGTGGGAAGAGTCTGAATAGAGGTCACAGGAACACTGAAATAAAAGTGTCTAACATTTGCTGCCGTAGTGAATCCAGCCAGGAAATACCAGTATCATATCTGAGCCAGTGTTAGGCATTTAGCACTCAGGGTTTCACACAAGCCAACCCAACGAACATGGTAATGAAATCACATGGGCAGCTCGCCACTATCAGCAATGGTAACGGTGGACTTGGGGGTACCGTTCTGTGTGCCCTCAGCCTCCACCTGGTACATCACGTCCATTCCCTCCAACACCTTGCCAAACACCACGTGGCGACCATCCAGCCTGGAGACAAACGGGATTCAAGAAGTGGCTCAGTCTCAACGAACCCTGCACTTATCTGCACCAAGCAGGTTACATTCCTCATCAAAGGCAAGATGGGATGCGCACTCACCAGCTGGTCTTGACAGTGCAGATAAAGAATTGGGAGCCATTAGTATTGGGACCAGCATTGGCCATGCTCACGATGCCTGGCAGTAGGTGGGGCAGAGTTAGAGACAGGTTAGTGAGACCCTTGAGAGCAACAGGCACGGCAGTTGCAAAAGACTCCGCTTTTGCAACTGATTCAAGAATAGCCTTTCTTCACTGACATGGGGTTGAATGGAGGCGGTGGGAAGTCGGATGGCAACATGGATTGGTATGATGAACATGCAAAGAGGGCCATGGGAAATTGCAGGGACATACCAGGCCCAGTGTGCTTCAGCTTGAAGTTCTCATCAGCGAATTTCTCGCCATAGATGGATTCGCCACCGCGGCCGTCTCCAAGAGTGAAGTCACCGCCCTGCAAAGCAAGTCGCCAATCAGGACATCGATGTGAGACATCGTGTTCAGCGGGCGAAATTCCCTGAATCGGAAGCTGGTCTGATACGTGCCTGCAGCATGAACTGAGGGATGATCCGGTGGAACTTGGAACCCTTGTAGTGCAGGGGCTTGCCGCTCTTTCCGATGCCCTTTTCGCCTGCACCAGAATGAGGAGAGTTTATACTAGGCTCGTAGACCAAAAGAAAGTCACATTCAGTAACTCTATCGCTTACCAGTGCAGAGAGCTCGGAAGTTCTCTGCAGGCAGGTGTAGAACGGAGGAGTCGCAAGACGGGCAATGGTGGGTATGGTCAGTATTCCGTCAAAACATCCACAGAAAAAGAAGCACATGACCATGACGACTTACCGACAGTTTTAGGGACCACGTTGCCAAAAAGACCAATGACAATACGACCTGCAGCAGTATAGCGCAAGGAATTAGGATTCATAAGAATAGATTATGATCACCCGCTGATCTCGACAAGACGCCATGGGAAAATTCTAAAGCTCTGACCTGCTTTTTGGCCGTTGATCTCCACATCGAAGAATACCTTGTGGGTGATCTCTTCCGGGTGTTTCGTCTTCAACTTAGCCTGAAGCGGTGACCAAACGCTCTTAGAAACAAAGAGATGAGTAGATTTGCTGAAGATCTAAGACAAAGCTTACCTCAACCTTTACGGCAAGGAGAACGACGGCCAGAACCAGAACGGCAACGACGCCCGCCTTCGCCATCGTGGCGTAGCTACAGGGAAATAGCCTCGAGATCCACGAAGGCTGTGAGCGCGTTTGGCGGTTTGCAGAGAATGAAGTAGGCGAGACCAGTCCTTCGCTTTCAACGTCCATGACAAGTGGTGAATGACATGCAGATGCACATTTGATTGCATCTGGAGCATCTGTGACTCCAGGGATTGGGGGAGGGAGGGGCGTGGGTGATGTTGGGGGGAAGAAAGGGGGATCCGTGCGGGTTCAGGGGCGCGGTCTTTTCATTACCCCCGAGCTGCGCCAAAGCCAAACCATTCCCCCAATCGTCTCCGCCTAGAGTTCTGAGGGCTGGTGGCGATGGGTTGCGTTTGGCGATTTCGCGGGAGACCCGTCGCCAGGTTGCGGTAACCATCCCGCTACGGACGGAAAGAGGTACAGTAATCAGAAAGTCGGGTAACGCTCGATATTGCTCGTTTCGCACACGTCGTTGGTTTTGTCAGCTCCAGGGCAGGCGTTTCGGCGGGACCGTGGCGGATGCAGCCCCGGTGTCGACCATCCCCCCTCCCCATCCTTTCCCCAAGAGTCAGCGCCATTCCCCCAGAACCCCCCCATTTGGTCTTTGTGCTAGCAGCTGTGTTCATCGATCTCCTACCCTACTGAGCTGTGACATGCTGAAGAGAGATGCTGCCATCATGCCTGCCTGCCAATTGCATAGCTGATGTGGCACTGCAGCTGACTAGCACCACTTCAGCCTTACGGGCAAACTTAGTCGCGTCCCATGACCCAGAGTTCTTCCGGAACGCAATTGTCAGGAATGCGTTTGCTCGTTAGTGTTCCTTACCAGTAGTATTTTCTAGGGACCAGAACTTCACTGCCCGACCAGTGCGAGTAGCGCCATCGCTGTTAGGTTAGGGCGTTGAGTCAGCATCTTCGATGGCAGCTAATGACGAGAGCATAAGTGCGCTACAAGATCTTTCTCTTTCCTCTGTGCCTCCAGACGGCTGTTCTAGTGCTCCACTCCAAGAAATGGCATTTCGACATTCTGCTTCCGAGAGTGGGCCTCCAATCCAAGTTCCTAAGCCTTCTCGGCGCGTCCATTTCGCGCCCACCAGCTCCAACATCTTCGGCATCGAAGTTCCGCCGAGGGAAGAAGGGTCCTCGCAGATTGCTCCTGATGATACTTGGCGTAACATTCAAGAGCGGGTGAAGGAGGCGTTTGGTCATGGCAGTGGTGAAGGCGATAAGGACGGAGAAGGGGAGGATGAGGAAGAAGCTTCAGGGAAACAGGGGAGTAGAAGCTTCCTCTTTCGCACTCAAAGTGAATGCACTTGGCAGTCTCGTCGCACAGCGATTCTGGGAGCCACATTGGGTACGCCTCGTAATCGTTCCCCACTGACCAAGTCCCACTCACAGCCACCCTCCATGATGGAGGACATTAAGCTGAAGGACCAATCTTGATAAGGCCATGATCCTGTCCTCGATACCTTCTTGGGTGGTGTAAGATGGCATCGATTTCACATCATTGACTCAAGCTCTAGGTCTTAGAACCCGAATCCTCTATGCTGTCGTTGCACATTCTTTATGCAGAAGTTGGATTCTTGGGAGTACTAAGCGAAAGAGTTGCAATGACCATGCACAAACATCTGTTGGACAATGTAATATTGGATTCACTCACTATTTTTAAGTGGAATAACGCCTGCATGGCAACGCTGACCACACGTAGACCACCACATTAGAAGTCAGGAACTGGCGGCTAGAGTCAGCTCAGCGCTTCTAATTTTGAGCTCGAAAGGGGGTTAGGATTGATACTAGAGGGAGTGAGGAAGGGAGATGCTAAATGGCAAACTAAAAAAGAATGAAGGCTGGCGTACCCTCAAGGAACTGAGCTTGCAGGGTCTGAAAACCCAGGTCTAGGCTTTTGAGGAGCAATGGCATATCTGTCTAGGCAAGGGAAGCTTCTGCAACATGCGTTTGTAGGCAGCCATCACGTAAAAATCTAACGGACTTGCCCTCCTGTATGCATCACACACTTGCTATCGACCACCCGTCTGGTGAAGCATAGCATCAATCTCGTCGCCATCCTCCATTTCCAGCTGCAAACAGAAGTAGCATGTGGCGAATGAGAACTTGCAGAAGCATCGTAAGGTAGGAGAAAAGGACGACCAGGAAACAAACGTACATCGGAAGGACTTTGATCAGGTCGTAACCGTCTGCCGTCGAAAAGAAAGGCGATGGCGTTCATGTCAATGGATTGACGATCACAATATGTCTGCATCAACTTCTTAAAGGTGGAGGTGGACCTGATCTTGAAGAATACCTCTTGTCCATCCTGCAAAACTCAAGGCCATCAGTTCAGCTCCTGAATCGAAAGGAAGTGGAAGAAGACCGCACGATAATGCTCTTCTGACCTGGCTCTTGACTTTAAGATTTATGTGCTGTCCCTCGCTCTTCGGCTTCTCATCCGGACCGTGGTTACCCTGACCTTCCATGTAGACTAGTTGATAGCTAAGACCAGAAATGTCGAAGCAACTGAGATGACTGTTGACCTAACGAACAGGCTGAAGGAAAAGCTAAGCTATTGGAGGGTATGAGCTGGGCCTGACAGAAGCTATTACTTCAGCCAAGGAATTTGAGCATTCGAAAACATACGCGGCAAAAGCACAAGCGGCTTGTTTATCGACGTACACGTAAAAAGCGAGAACTGCCAGAGGTTTATTTTGAGAGTGCCTCATTTGTTAATCGACACTGCACTTTCGCTGATATTGCTAATTTCGCGGGAACCTTGGGATCTACCACACCTCCGCTGCCAAATCAGCACTCGCTTACGTGACGTCAGATGGGACCACCCGTGGCACGAAAATGCAGCGCCCGACAACACTACCGCCGCCTTGGCAGCAAAGTTGTCGGCCGTCTGCCCTGTCACCGTCCGCGCACCTGCAAGGCAACTCCTAGGCCCAGTGCCTTGGGCTAAATGTGCTGGATGGAGATATCAGTTTATGAGCCAACGGGCTAGGATTCCTTAGGCAAGTCAGGCTCCAGGCTTTTTCATCAAGGCACCAGTCGCTCGAACCGCAACCGGCGTTTAGCAGCTCGCAGATCTGCGGATCTTGCGACTGTTTAGGAGCAGTTTCCTCTGCTCTGCTCAACGCGATTGGCGCCGTTTTTATGTTTGTTGTTATTGGCTGGAACGCTGCTGTCCGATAATACACCATGAGAGGTCTAGGGTCAGTGGCGAGGTTGCTAGCAAGGCAAGCAGCTCGAGGGTCCGGCAGATCCGCCAAGGAGGTGCGTTTAAGCCCTCGTTTTATCTAATCCCGATGTCATGTACGAATTGGTGAACGTGAGCTGGCGGTTGATTTTTCCCTCGATAAGTCTCTATTCAGAGTTTAATTCGCCGTCGCCTGAATTTAATGTTTTCGTCGCAGTTCATCCGAAATGTTAGTGGATGCGTTTTTCTGTCTGCAGCTTTGTGCCATTGTGACCCGAAGTGAAGCTGTCGCCGTCTTGACCAGCCGACGCGGACTCACCACGCTTGGAGGTGAGACGTCACTATGTGAATGTGAGCTCTGACACTTCATCCCGCGTACCGCCATCCGCTCGTCTCACGTATCTTCCGCAACGAGCCTTACTTAACCCATTCTCTCATTTTGACTGCGTCGCAGGATGCTCGAGAGGCCCGTTCGCGTACAACAGCAACAGGTATCCGCAGCGGGCTAAATTGGGTGCCGCACGTTGATCCTTGTAGGCTGGGGAATTCTATCCGTCGATTACCCATGCTGCATGCAGCTTTTGAGCAATCAGCGAATCCATGTCCTTCCTTCTGCGTCCTCCCTGCAGAGCCGCCTTGGCCATGGCTGAGTGCGTGGCGTTTCGTGCGCTGGACCGTGTGCGCTTCATGGCTGCTGACGCAGGTGCTGACGGGGCTGTGAGAGTGTAGCACATGGGGCCACGTAGCGTGGTGCATTTATGCATGGGTGCATGTATGCATGGGTGCACGAGTGCATGAATTCATGATGCATGGGTGCATGGTGCATGATGCATGGGTGCATGTATGCATGGATGGGTGCATGTATGCATGGATGGGTGCATGTATGCATGGATGGGTGCATGTATGCATGGATTGGTGCATGTATGCATGGATTGGTGCATGTATGCATGGATGGGTGCATGTATGCATCATGAGTGCGTGGGTTCATGGAATGAGCATGCATTTGGAATCCAGGTGGTAGGTCGCTTGTGATAGGTAGCTCATGGGAGAATGTGCATCTCTACTAGTTAGGGTTGCGTATGTGGATGATACTGAAGCGTGTGACATGGTAAGTGCCACGACTTTCTCTACAATTCGAGTCATATGTCGTTAAGTTGCCACATTCTGATAATCGGCTTCCGCCATATGTGTCTTCCTGTTGCCATACTGCAGGGTTGCCATCAGCTGTGCTGGTGCCCACAATGGGCGAGTCAATAAAGGACGGATCCATAGCCACCGTTCTTAAAGGTACCCATCTGTGACCACCAAGGTCTAGTTAATGGAAACACGTAGGAGAGTGGAGCCCCTGATATCGTTTGATGTTATTCCAATCGCCAAAGCATTTGCTGAATTTAGGAACCCTATTGCATTCCGTAATGGTTATCTGCATTGCTCCCTCTGCGTGCTGCCACCAGCTGCGGGCGACTCAGTGGAGGAGGACGAGGTCATAGCGCAGATCGAGACAGACAAGGTCACCATCGACGTGCGCAGCCCTCGAGCAGGAGTCGTCCAGAAGGTGCGTGCTGCTCCTGATCTCACATTTCCTTTCCTCGCCTGCCAGCACAATTGTCTTTCTTACTTCGCATACCTGTTCGTGAATCTTGTTTGTACGCTCAGGCTTCATGCATGGCTGTTTGCTTTCAACTGAGACTTATCTTCCCCTGTGCCTATGTTTACATGTGCCCTCCACCTGTCCCTATCGTCATCTCTGCGCCGTCTGTGTTTGCAGATCGAGGTGAAGGTGGGGGACACCGTCACGCCCGGCACCACCGTCGCCTTCGTTGCTTCCTCCTCCACTGCGCCAGCAGCCACGCCAGCAGGAGCAGGAGTGCACGCGCCATCAGCAGCAGCGACGGTTGTGGGGCCGATAGCAGACGAGGAGGGGGGAGGGGATGGGGAGGGAGTGGACGAGTACAGTTTGATTCACGGGGACGATACGGTGGAGGTGGTGGTGCCGTCCATGGGGGAATCCGTGAACGATGGGGTGCTGGCTGCGCTTCTCAAGAGTACGTGCATATGGGGAGGGGATGGGGAGGGGGAGGGCACGGATGAGTACAGCGTGGTGCATGGTGGAGTCAGTGAACGACGGGTGTTGGCTGTGCTGCTCAGGAGTGAGCCAGCACGCTCGCACAGCTATGCATCCTGGCTCTTCCCTGCTCTGAAGGCTTGAACTGTCATGAGAGTATATCCCTTCCCTAAGGTGCCTTGTGCCCCCTGTGCCTGTGCTCCTGGTCCCGTGTGGCCTGGTGCATGTGCCCCTTCTCCCTTGTCCCTTGGCCCGGTGTGTGCACAGGTGTGGGCGACAGTGTGCGCGTGGATGAAGTGATCGGGCAGGTGGAAACAGACAAGGTGAGGGGGGGATGGCGGGTGGAGGTGAGAGGGAGAGGGCAGGAAAGGGTCATACCATGTGTCATAGCATGGACGCATGTGGAGGCGACAGTGTGCGCGTGGATGGAATGAACAGGCAGGTGGAGACAGACAAGGGGAGAGGGAGAAGGCAGGAGAAGGGAGGCGAAGGTGAGAGGTAGAAGGCAGGGAAGAGTCATAGCATGGCTCATAGCAGACATGAGTGTTTTCCGAACTGGTTGTATTTTGAGTCGACTCAAAATACAACTGTAGAAGGCTGGGAAGAGTCATAGCATGGCTCATAGCAGACATGAGTGTTTTCCGAACTGGTTGTATTTTGAGTCGACTCAAAATACAACTGTAGAAGGCTGGGAAGAGTCATAGCATGGCTCATAGCAGACATGAGTGTTTTCCGAACTGGTTGTATTTTGAGTCGACTCAAAATACAACTGTAGAAGGCAGGGAAGAGTCATGGCATGGCTCATAGCAGACATGAGTGTTTTCCTATGTGTCCCACCTTTGCTGATCCCATGTGTAGGGTATTTTTTAGAATTCTAAAAATACCCTGCAAATTGAAGGCAGGGAAGAGTCATAGCATGGCTCATAGCAGGCATGAGTGTTTTCCTATGTGTCCCACCTTCGCTGATCCCATGTGTGCTGAACCGGGCCATGCGTTTTGCCCTGGCTTAAAACATGCCATCTCTCTCTCCCTCCCCCCCCCCCCCCCGCCCCTCAGCAGGTGACGATAGACGTGCGCAGTCCCAACGAGGGTGTGGTGCAACAGGCCAAGTGTTATGCGGCGCCTTACTGTGCCCCCATTCTCTCCCCCCGACGACCTCTCTCCCCCTGTGCTGCAGGTGACCATAGACGTGCGCAGTCCTGACGAGGGCGTGGTGGAGCGGGTGAACGTGCAGCTCGGCGACACCGTCACCCCCGGCACACCCATCGCCGTCGTGCGCCGGGCCAAGGCGCTCCCCGCATCCACCACTCTGGCAGACCGCGTGGTGGAGGCTGTTGAGGGCCCCCGCCCCCTGCCTGTCGCCCGTGCTGCTCCCCCGTCCCCTCCTCCTGCTGCCTCCCGGCCCTCTGCTGCTGCTCCTGGTGCCGCGGCTCCTGCTGTGCCCATCATCCCCAAGCAGAAGGAGAGGCGGGTAGGTTCTCCTATCTCGTTTTGCCGGCTCGTCTTGCCATGTACCCCTGGCGTTTAGCTCCTCCCCACTGTTTCCGTCACTCCCCCTAACACAATCCTATTTCTTTCTTACTTGTTGCTCCCCCTCGCCAACCCATTTCTCGATGCTGTGGCACCTTGTAACTCCCAGGAGCCCATGATTTGCTTGAGGCAAAGGGTGGCGCATTGGCTCAAGGACTCTCCCTCCCCCCCTGCTATTTTTCCGACTTCCTTTTTGCCTCCCGCTGCCCACGAATCTGACCCCATTGATCCCACGGCACAACGATCCAGGTGCCCATGACTCGCCTGAGGCGGCGCGTGGCTCAGCGGCTCAAGGACTCGCAGAACACCTTCGCCATGCTCACCACCTTCAATGAGATCGACATGTGAGTGCCAGTGGGTGGGGTGGGAAGGGAGTATGTGGCAATCAATCAGATCAACACAGGAAGCTGAAGGACTCTTGAGAACACCTTCAGCATGCTGACCACATTCAGTGAGATCGACATGTGAGTGCAACGTGGGGTGGGACAGGGAGAGAACCTGTGTGAACCTTCCGGATCAACTTGGAGAGGCTCAAGGACTGCCAGAACACTGTAGCCATGCTCACCTCATTCGCCATGAAATCGACAAGCGAGTGTTCTTCCTCCCCCACCCCAATGCCCCTCACTGCCCGCTCACCTCCAGGACGAACCTCATCGCCCTGCGCAATGACTTCAAGGACGCCTTCTATGAGAAGCACGGCATCAAGCTGGGCTTCATGTCCGCCTTCGTCAAGGTAGAGCTTTCTCTGATGCTACGTCAATGGCCTTAAACCACACTCGTGCCGTAGGGAGCATGCATTTCATCTTTACAACATGGGCGCATGTGCATGTCCCATGTGACTGACTTCCCATGGCCGTGCATGCCTGCATGGCAGGGGGCGCCCAGCACTCTGCAGCAGGAGCCAGCAGCAAACGCAGTTATCGACATCATGTCGCTTCTTGATGCCACATTGATTCCGAATGAGTGCCCCGTGTCTCAATGCATGTGCATGGCAGGCGGCGTCCAGCGCCCTGCAGCAGGAGCCGGCAGTGAATGCTGTGATTGATGGTGATGACATTGTGTACAGAGACTACATCGATGTCAGCATCGCTGTCGGCACTCCCAAGGTACCATGCCATGCCGCCATGCCATGTTATCTCCTGCCATGCCGCCATGCCATGTTATCTCATGCCATGCCGTCATGCCATGTTATCTCATGGCATGTGACTTGTACCGTCCCTTGCAAGGCACATGGTGCTTCACAAGGCTCAGCTTGTTATCTTCCCTTTGTCTCTCTTTCGGTCTCTCCCCTCCCCACAGGGCCTGGTCGTACCTGTGATTCACAAGGTGCACGAGATGACCTTCGTGGACGTGGAGCGCACCGTGGCAGGCAGAGCTGTCTCATCTGTATCTCTCCTCTCGCTTTCCCAAACCCCTTCTCTCTCTAGGGCCTGGTGGTGCGTGTGATTCGCAAGGTGCATGAGCTGTCCTTCGTGGACATGGAGCGCGTGGTGGCAGAGCTGGGCAGGAAGAGATTGTGATTGGGCCATGCTCCTCCTTATGTGTGCCTACCCTTTGCCCCTTCCCGCACCCTGCTCCAGGGCCTGGTTGTCCCTGTGATTCGCAAGGTGCATGAGCTGTCCTTCGTGGACGTGGAGCGCGTGGTGGCAGACCTGGGCAGGAAGGCGCGTGACGGCAGCATCTCCATCGATGACATGGCGGGCGGCACGTTCACCATCTCCAATGGGGGCGTGTATGGCAGCCTCATTAGCACGCCCATCATCAACCCGCCGCAGGTGAGAGAAGGGTTTTAGAGTCGCCTCTAGAGAGGTGGGAAGGGCTTTAGCACCCGTCACACGATCATCACCACCCCCAGTGCCCGGTCCAGTGCCCAGTCCAGTTCCCGGACCAGTGCGCGGTCCAGTTCGCGGTCCAGTTCCTGGTCCTGTGCGCGGTCCGGTTTCCGGTCCAGTGCGTGGTCCAGTTCCCAGTCTAGTGTGCGGTCTAGTTCCCGGTCCAGTGTGCAGTCCAGTTCCCAGTCCAGTGCGCGGTCCAGTGCGCGGTCCAGTGCGCGGTCCAGTGCGCGGTCCAGTTCCTGGTCCAGTGCGCCGTCCAGTGCCCGGTCGATCCATCCTGGGCATGCCGGCCACTCGGTAGCGGCCAGTTGTTTTAGGCAAGGATGCAGACCAGTCTGGCCCTCGTGGCTCATCCTCTCCCCCTTCTCCCCCGCTTCCCCCTTCTCCCCCTTCTCCCCCGCATCCCTCCCCCCACTCCACTTTCCCCGCCCTCTCAGTCTGCCATCCTGGGCTGCTGGGCATGCACGCCATCCAGCAGCGCCCAGTGGTGGTTGCCAGGGAGACAGCAGCTCGGCCCATGATAACATTGGACCACCGCCCCTTGTGGCTGTGTGCTTGCACACCCCTTTCCTTCCTTCTTTCCCCTCCCCCCTCCCCCCACCAGTCCGCCATCCTGGGCATGCACGCCATCCAGCAGCGCCCGGTGGTCGTAGGCAAGGAGATTGTCGCCCGTCCGATGATGTACGTGGCGCTCACATACGATCACCGCCTCATCGACGGCAGAGAGGCCGTGCTCTTCCTGCGGCGCATCAAGGACATTGTGGAGGACCCCCGGCGCATCCTGCTGGACATCTGAGGCGCTTCGGCTGTGTGATGCGTTAGTGGGGGTCGAGGGTGTGGCACACCTCATCAGCGCTCATTTACGGCAGACAGGCTGTGCTGTTCCTCGGGCGGAACAAGGACATTGTGGAGGACCCCCGGTGCATTCGCCTGGACATCTGTGCTTCTGCGCTCCGTGGTGCGCTCTGGCATGCACTCGTGCATGCTGGCCGGCGTGGTGCGGGGCAGCATGTGTGACAGCGTTATTCTCTGCGATCCATCCATCCATTCGTCCACCACATTCCACTCTCCATCTTCCCGCGGTGTCATGACTTGTTCTTTAAGAACCATCACCATCATCATCCGCTTGCCATCCATCATCACTCCACTCCACCATCCATCAACTACCACCGAGCCACCGCCAATTTTCACTGCCGGATAGGCCGCCATCATCGCGCTCATCTCATCACTATGCCAACTCTCCTCTCTTCAGCCGCCCTCGGTCTGCCTTTGACTCGTCTCATGCATCCGCCTGTTGTAGTGTGAAAAGACAGCATATTACTAGGGGCTTATTCGCATCCAATCCTATCCAATGCCATTGTTGTAGGGTAGAGCATTAGCTATTCATTCATCTGCAACCTGGATATTATTCGTTCAGCCTTGCTGACCCGTTGCCCAGTCTACTTAGTCCCCTGGTTTGATATGCATAGCAGGCGCCACTGCTTGATGTAGTCATCACCCCCAACTCATATCGTATATTCCAAGCTATTACGGTACCTGTGAACAAGCAGTACAGCCCACCCACACCGTTTATACCCACTAAGCAAGCACGGTTGGGCCCCACTAATGCTGTTGCACAGGTGTGCTGAGCGAACGCTCTTTATTTGGGTCGCCCAGAGCACCTGGAATGACCCAGGCAGCAACCGCATGACACACAGCAGCTTTGGCTGCCTCCCTGTGCTTCGTGCTTGTCATCCGGACTGCCATGGCGAGATTCAGTCATCCGCACCTTGGCTGGTATGCTGAACCCCAAGCCATCAACGCTCGCACTCACACCATCCTGACAACCCCCGTGCCTCACACGAATCTCCCGTGCCATGCTCTCACTGCCGCCCCGCCATCCCCACGCCAGCAGCGAAGCGTCCCCATCCACCCATGGTGCGGGTGCGGCTCCCTATTGGCGACACGAGCTGCTCACGTCCACGTGGACTCCTGCATGCCACGTGGCGAAGAGGCGGCAGCACAGCCACACGATTTAGGCTCACCTCAAGGCACGAACCCTCACTCTTTCTATCCCCCCTTTCCTCCCACACTTCACCACCAGCGCCCCGCTCGTCCTCTTCCCCGCATCCCACGTCGATGGTCAGTGCCACGTGGCATCCGCTCACGTCTCCACGTGTCCTCACGGCGGGGCAGCACCGCGGCGTCTCTTCTCCATCCGCCATATAAGCTTCCTCGATGAACCAAGAGTCTTCTAATATTTCCACCGCGCTCGGCCGTTTCTCCGCGTCTACAGCCATCAGGCGCGCAATCAGCGCCTTTGCGCGCGCCGACACCCCCGCCCAGCACTCTTCGCGCCAGTCCACCGCGCGCTCCAGCCGCCTGTCCGTGCTGCCCTCCGCGAATCCCGGCCACGCGCCCGAGAGCATGGCGAAGAGCAGCACGCCGAGGCTCCACACGTCCGCGGAGATGTCGTACGGCGCGCGCGCAACCACCTCGGGTGCCTCGTAGGGGAAACTGCCCGCGTATCCGAGCACCTGCTGGTCCGCCGGCAGATGAAGCGCCAGGCCGAAATCCGCGAGCTTCGGAACGAAATCTGAGAGATCGTGGTTACTCAGAGAGACGATATCGCGGGGATTGGCTTTCGAGGGGGCGACGGGGCAGAGGAGAATGTTTTCGGGCTTAATATCGCGGTGGACTATACCGCGGACGTGGCACTCCCCGACAGCGCGAACCACGGCTGCGAACACCTGCCGCGCTTCGCGCTCAGGCAGCCGCCCTTTCTGCTCGATGCGCGACAGCAGGTCGCCGCCAGTGCACAGCTCTAGAAGTAAATAAAGCGATGACGTGTCGCCATAGACGGCTTCGAGGGAAACTGCATGCTTCGCACCGCGCATGCGATTGAGGACGTCGATTTCTCGAAGCGCTACTTTCAAGGCACGGGGGTTGAGATCCTTGAGGGCAATCTGCTTGCACGCGAACTCGCGGCCCGTGCGGCGCTCCCTGCATTTCCAGACCACGCCGTACTTTCCCCTCCCTAGCACGTCCACGAACAAATACTCAGCTACTAGATCGGTCGTTGGTCTAATGCCGCACGATGCGGACGGCCTAACCAGTTCTCCCGGCATTGGTGACGCCTGACCGTGAACCCACTAACAGAGCCAGCCTACTAGTAAGAAGAGTGGCAAAAGTCTGATCGACAGCGAACCTGTGCTGGTTTGCTGTGCGTTGAATGAGAGCGCCTGTTCCCAGAAAATATGCTTGCATGTCTGAAGCTTTTGAGCCCCCAGAACAAGTTGCGCTGCGTATTTCCGATGACGAAGGATCATCCAAGCCTCGGATTAATAAAGGGTTCTACAATGTTTTGGCGGATTCCAGAACGGTTTTGTTTGTTAAACCGATGTAAACCTCCTCTTGGAATGCATGGTTTCCCATTAGCGCCCTCGACGCGATCCGCGAAGCCCAGCGGATGGCGCGACTTGCTTGCGGAGGGAGTGTGGGTGTTGCGAGAGTGTAGTGTGGGCGCTGGGCAGATGCTGTCAGCCTGGCATTTCAGGTGGTCGCGCCAGGTTGGATTCCCCTGCCAAACCCTATTGACCTCCTCCAGCTGTTGCTGGTAGCCTCATGGATATCCCCGACACCGACAGATCGAGTAAACAGCTAGCATCGGGCTTCACAGATAAAACGGGTTACGGTTACTCGTGGTTACAATATCGAAATATTTGTAAGGAATTACGATTCCTTACTGGGGCTCGCCACAGCAAGTACACGCGAACAGTTCGCGTCCGCAGGCTCGGCCTTTGGTTCTCGCGCCAAACCAGCCCCCGTCGACCTTTTCGCCCCCAACCTGATCCCGAGTCGCCTCGAACCCATTTTGACCCCGTCACCCTCGGGACTACCGAGCCCTTGACTAGTCCAACCATCGACATTCAACCCTGGTCAACACACCTATATATTGCATAGGCCTCATTATTCTGGAAAATTCTTTGTTGGAAATACCTCAAGGACTTAAGCGTTTCTGAAGTGTAACACCACACTCGAGGAAGATCGTAACGGGTACGCGAGTCAACGGAGGTTACACGAGGGGATGGACAAAGAACACGAAGGATCGCAATCGAAGGTTGCGACTGACCGTTACAACTGCAAGAATGGTAACCGAAGCGACAATCGAGTCGCTATGCGACTCGATAAACCACCCTTCAACTGTATTCTACAACTGCTTGCCTTCTACTTTCTATATATTGCTGTATGCTTGTTCTTTTAATCAATCACTTGTTCTCACATACTAGTAGAAGGGTTTAACTACTCAACTTCCGCTGCACTACTCAAGTCTCCTTTTACAACTGGGAATTAGTCTCTGGAAAGATCCTAAGGGCTTTTTCTCAGCCCAACATGGTATGAGAGCTGGTCAGAGACCAAACTCCCAGCAACTACGTTCTATCTGCAATCAGCACATCAACGACTTCATTAATTACAAGTCATGGACAGCAAGGGCAAGAAAACCTCTACGGGCTCACCCAGCGCCCAAGACACTCAACCCGGCAACTCTGGATTGCACACTTCAGGACTGCAAACCAAGACCGGCGCTGCTCAAGAAACAACAGGAATAGCACCAGAAATGGTGACCCCATCACCCTCTTCAAGCGTGGACCCGAACCTTATGGAAAGGTTCTTCAGCTTCATGTCGCACTTCGACCAGCAGCAGCAGACAAGGACGCCTGCACATTCAATACAGAGCAACGGAGGAAACATGAGATTAGCACCGATGAGCCTCGACAACTCATCGTTCAGGCGACACAATCAAGCGCCTACCTTTGCGCCTTATCACTCTTCACCGGGGACATTCGAGTTCATGCCGCCCCGTGCCCAACCAACAGCAGCTGCATCACAACACACACCAAACGAGATTTTAAGTCTCCAGGCGCAGTTTTCACACGTGATCAAACTGCAGACATCCTCACCGTTTAACGGACACGACTTTTTTACCTGGAGCTTTGAGTTCGAGCTGCTGATGGAGGCTGCGCATCTCCTGGGATACTTCAACGGGTCCCTGCCATTCCCAAGCAACGGCACTGCAAAAAAGCAAGAAATCTTTACGTATCAATCGCTGCTGGCGTACACAGTTCTCCTGCGGAACCTGTCACCACAAGAACAGCAAAGCATTAGAACGTATCGGAGCTATGGAAACTCCGCGGAACTCGCATGGCATCACCTCAAGTGTCTCTATCAAGCAAACGACAACGTGACACAAAGCAGACTCATGCAGCAGCTGACAACAATACAGATGAAGACCGGGGAAAAGGCGATGCAGTATATGAGCCGATGCCAGACACTCCGCGACCGCCTGCTTCGGTGCGGAGGAACAATCACTGAAGAAAGCTTCGTGACGCTTGTCCTCGCCGGGCTCGGACCAGAATGGAGAACCACCCCGCTCGCTCCTTCGCGCCCACGGACGAATCTCGGAGATGCACCTCTGCGCCGAGCTCCATGCTGAACAACAGGAGATGGACCTGTTCGAAGAAAGGCAACCAAGGAAACAACAACCATTAGTCTTCTACGCTCAACGAAGGAACGACAACAACTACAACCGACGCGGCAAACAAGATCAACGCGACAACAGAGGACTCACCATTGTGCCGCCGTTCTGCCACAACTGCCAAACATCCGGACACTCCAAAGTCCACTGCACACGTCCCCGAGCTTATCGTCCAGTAGACCCGCAAGTCGCTTCCACTCAAGAAAGCCCGACGAGGCGCTCTTCCACATCTGCACAAAATCCACCGAACATCATCAACTGCATGGTACACATCGACAACAGCGCACCCGGATCACCGCCCACTTACGCTCCCGATGAAGAAGAACTGTCGCCGCCGCGCTCACAAGAACTTCAGGTCAACCCAACGTACGCTGCAGTCGCCAACTCCGAACCCACTGGACGAAACACGTGGTTCTTGGACAGCTGTTGCGGCCAACATATGTGTTCTTCCGGGCGCTTCGTGCAACGAGAATGACGTCTCAACCGAGACGTCATCATCACCGTCGCCAACAACGAGAACCTGAAAACAAACAGGCAAGGAGTGGTTCAGTTACAATCCATGGAGACAACTCAACAAGGTCCTCATCGTCGACAACTTGGGATACAACTTACTCAGCGTAAGCCAATTAATGGCAAAAGGGATTCACCTGGAGTGCGACTCGGACTCCAACGAATTTTGCCTATACCACGGGAAGGGTGGTCTCTTCATCGGTCGCGCTCTACTGAAGTCCGGCGTCTTCGTGTTGGACTTCGTCCCCGACCGCGGTAGCGCCGACAGCGATGGCATCGTGTCATTCGCCGCATGGACGCACCCACCGGATCTTGACCCCGAATTTAACCAGGATGGATACTAGCACTCCAACACCATACCTGCAGCAGAGAGAACACGGGCATTAGCAGTCATTAGACAAGAACGACAAGTACCGGCAAGCGTCTCTTCATCGACATCACCTGAAATCACAGCAGCAGGACCCAGCCGAGTATCATCACCAGCAATCCGAGGACTGCCAACCGAAGCTGATCAACTCATGCCTATCACACGCGAAGTCTGCCGAAGTCCCGCCACCGTCGTCGCGTTCTTCTCCAACACCGACATGTATCACCGCTCGCCCGGCCATCGAGCTCCCGACGACATCTGGCATCAACGCCTTGGGCATCCTGCAAATAGCACGGTACTACAAACCATCCAAGCCGAAGTGTTAGAACGAAACGCTCTCCGTACAACAAGCGGACAGGAACTTTGACGACCTCGTGCACGGTGCTTCACATGCCCCGAAGTAGATCTTCAACACCAACCTTTTCCGTCACATCACAATCCAAGCGCACCTACATACGCACCGATGGAAAAAGTTTACAGTGACATCTTAAACATGCCTCGCGACAACACTGAAGCCGACTTCAACTATGTAATCACGTTCATTGATGCAGCAACAAGATATGTTTGGCACTACAATCTCAAGACGAGAGACCAAGCCTTCGAAGTCTTCAAGACGTGGCTCCCCATCGCTGAACGAGAATCAGGAACCAAGCTCAAAAGCTTCCAGTCAGACGGCGCACTGGAATACCAGTCACAACGCTTCAGGACCTACTTGGCGGAAAGAGGAATCAGACGCCTGGTGTCTCTGCCCTACGCTCACCAGCAGCAGGGGGTCGCAGAAAGAATGAACCGGACCTTGCAGACGACGATGCGAAAGCTGCTCCTGGGGATGAGACTGCCCAACACACTGTGGCCAGACGCGATGACACATGCAGTCCACCTGCATAATCTGTTGTCCTCGTCCTCGCTTCCCAACAACGCATCACCACACCTGCTGTGGACAAGAAAAAGGGGCAGCACAAAATTACTTCGAGTTTTCGGCTGCATGGTACAGTACAGACCCTACACAGCCCGAGCAGGACGCTTCACTCAACGAGCACGGTGGGGACTACACCTCGGCATCGCCAAACATTTTCACGCATGGAAAATCCTCGACATACGAGACCAAAATACGGTGGCACCATGTGATGTTATCTTCTACGAGCGACTGACGCTGCAGCATTACCTGGACAACATTGCCAACATAGACGACCCCACCGACGGCCTCGCGGGCCTTCGCTCCTTCGCCGACCGTGCTGCCGAGGCTGACACAGCAGAAGAAGACGTACCTGGAGCCTCGGAAGTTGCCGGACCACTCCCATTATGTTTCGTACCTGTTCCACTCGACGAAGACAATCCTCTCGATAGCAACAACCTCGACACCCTCTATCACTTCGCTGACCAAGGTTGCGTTACACCTCACCCGGTCGACACGAATATCTCAGAACGCATCGGCCCAAACTTCTTACCTGATCCAGAAGATGGTGACGAAGCAGCCTATTCCGGGAATGAAAATTCCCCTCGACACACACCCACGGGACTGCAAATCCTCGGCTTATGGGTCTCCGTCCAGCACCCGCCGCCGCCATCTCCGCGCGAGCCTACAACTCTGTCGCAGGCTCTGGGGGGGGAACATAAGGCGAAATGGAAGGAGGCAATGGAAAAGGAACTAAAAGCTCTGCAAGACCGAAATACATGGAAGCTGGTACCTGCAACGAACATCAACGGGAAGAATGTTCTCTCGGGAAAGTGGGTGTACCGCATCAAGACCAACGCGGACGGCTCCATCGAACGATTCAAAGCTCGCTGGGTCGTACGAGGATTCGACCAATGATACGGAACCAATTACACAGAAACATTCGCCCCAGTTTCCCGTCACACCTCCTTACGCATTTTACTCGCCGTCGCGACCACGAAGAAACTACCACTGCGCCAGATCGACGTCGCAAATGCCTTCCTGTACGCACCTGTGGACGCCGAGATCTTCGTCGAGCAGCCTCACGGATTCATCGACGAACCCACAAAAGTATGCCAGCTGATAAAATCCCTTTACGGGATCAAGCAAGCCCCGCGGCTTTGGCAGCAGCATCTTCACGGTCGCCTTGCCAAAATCGGATTCCTACAGCTGCCGCACGACCAAGGCATGTACCGACTGCAAAAGGAAAGGGAATTCATCCTACTCATCGTCTACGTCGACGACCTACTCTACATCGGCTCCACTACTGACATCGCCACCTGGTTCGAAGGGGAGCTAAAAAGGGACTTGACACTCACGGTGTCAGACACCGTGACCCAGTACCTGGGTCTGAACGTCGTCGAAGACAACTCGGCGTTCTACTTATATGCTGGAAAATACGCAGGCGTCGTCGCAAAGAAGTTCGGACTAACACCAACTACAACAACGACTCCCTACCGCTACGGGAACAACAACGACACCTCCGCAAAACTCCCCGCGAAGCAAATCCAGGAGTATCAGCAGAAACTCGGCTGCCTACTATTCGCAGCAGTAACCTGCCGACCTGATCTATCCTACAACGTGAGCCAACTGGCGCCGCATCTGAAGCAGCCGGAACAAGAAGATCTCGAAGAACTAAACCGGGCACAACTCTTCTTTGTCTCTACACCTACGACTAGACTTACCTACAGCAAAGTAACAACACCGTCCGTACGACTACTCGGATACGTCGACGCCGACCACGCGGGAGACAGGGAAAATCGACGATCGAGAACGGGCTACATCTACCGGCTAGAACCTATCGGGACTATCTCCTGGCAGTCGAGTAAACAGGAACTAATCGCACTGTCCTCGGCTGAAGCAGAATATATCGCCCTCTGCACCGCGACCAAGGAAGGACTTTACCTGCGAGAGTTACTTGAGGAAGCAAAGATCGCGACCCTACCCATCTTCTCACTCCTCTGCGACAACCAATCTGCAATCAGAATCGCGAACAAGGACGGCTTCGCCAACCGAACCAAGCACATCGCCCTGCGGTACTTCTTCGTCAAAGATGAAATCGCGAAGAGGAGACTTCAACTCAGTTACTGCCCTACGACAGAAATGGCCGCAGACTACCTGACGAAGAAACTGGCGAAGACGAAGTTCGATCACTGCATGCTGCTGACCGGGCAGACAAACGTCACCGGATGTAAACACGTCAGCACTCCAAAAACGAAGGGGAGTGTTGGAAATACCTCAAGGACTTAAGCGTTTCTGAAGTGTAACACCACACTCGAGGAAGATCGTAACGGGTACGCGAGTCAACGGAGGTTACACGAGGGGATGGACAAAGAACACGAAGGGTCGCAATCGAAGGTTGCGACTGACCGTTACAACTGCAAGAATGGTAACCGAAGCGACAATCGAGTCGCTATGCGACTCGATAAACCACCCTTCAACTGTATTCTATAACTGCTTGCCTTCTACTTTCTATATATTGCTGTATGCTTGTTCTTTTAATCAATCACTTGTTCTCACATACTAGTACAAGGGTTCAACTACTCAACTTCCGCTGCACTACTCAAGTCTCCTTTTACAACTGGGACTTAGTCTCTGGAAATATCCTAAGGGCTTTTTCTCAGCCCAACATTCTTTAATCTTCCCCTATAGTATTATGCGCTATACTCTGAGTTATAATTCATAACAACTGGTATCATAAATACGTTCTTGCCCATTAGGCTTCCGGTAGAGGAGCAGACCCTATCGGGGAAGGGGGCAGAAGGATGCTGATGGCGAGCGGATGTCGTGGAGATTAATTGCACGGGCATTGCCGATGCCGTCAGATCCTGTCCGATGGACGGCTGGGATTAGCCAGACCTCCCCTTCCCTGGGCGTAGATGGAATTATTTCCCGTCGAAGAGTGGGCAACGTTTTCGCTGTGTTTTTCGGGTACGTTCGTTAGAGATTTCGTCATTTTCCGGTGTTCGGACAGATTCTTCGGATTGGCTTCCGAAAAAAAGCGAAGGCTTCGTCATGAGGCGGCCGGGAGTTGGTCGACAGGAGCGCACGGGGTAGCGAAATTGGCGGGACGTACGGAGATGTACTTTTGGCATGCCATGCAGCGGCAAGGTGAAGTTTAGCTGTGTCGCGGGTCTCGGTGTTTTCGGCAGGCTAGTTGTAGGCGATGGACGGGACTTCAACACTCTTTCGGCAATGGGGGGATCCGACAATTTCAGAACGACACGATCGCACAAGGACATGTGGATGTGCATTTGTGTGGGAGCAGCTGGGATTAACGGCCTCGACGCTATTCACAACAACGACCATCTGGAGGTGATGACGCGTATACTCTGCGCGGGCGACTTCCTGCGTGGGAAGGCAGTTTTCCGTGGACCAGCGATTCATACCCCCTCGAACAACGGAAACGGAGGCCACCACCCTTGGATGTGTATTAAGTGTTTTTCCACCGGTCGCCGAATGCGTTAACTGTCAGGAGCTGAAGCAGTGGAGGAAGAACGACGTGACTACTGGAGCAGATGGGTTAGCGGCGTTCGGGCAGCTGCTCGCCAGCTACGTCGCCCGAAAATCACCATCCCTACTAGATAGCAGTGTCGACTTATTAATCGACGGCTCTTGGCTGAATAAGGGAGGTGAACCTGCAAACTACACTGTGCTGATGGAGTGTCCCCAATTTTTCGGAGTTACTGTGTTGCAGCGAAGCTTACGGTTTCACTTGGCGCAGCAAACGGCGTTTCCGACTTTTGCGGGTGTAGTTTGACGAGTTTCCGACGGAGGAGAGAGTTGTCCAGCGGTCAGTAGGCGAGCTCGTTAAAGCTCCTCTGACTAGAAGCGTGCGCACTCCTATCTCTACGGATTCTCCTTGTTAGTTAAGCAGCAGTGAAGCGATTTTGGGTAACCTGCAGCAGCCGCGAGACGGGTGAACGTCTGCACGGCCAGCTGGCAGGGGTACCAAAGTATTTTAGATTTGGGTAACAGTTGGGCGGAGATCGACGGCGTATGATGCGCCAAAACATTATGCCGAGGCGGTGGACTCCGGTAAACCATAATATAAAGGGTGTCGTTCATGCGTACAGCTGGTGGAAAAACCGTGGGGGCGCTGCTAAAAGACACCGCGAAGCCTAGCGTTTTACGGGTAGCTGTGAAGCGGAGTTGCGAGATTTGCTGACTACCGTGAGGTTCCGATAGCTGGCGGCATTCAACCATGGGTTCCGTTCGAGGTTTTTCACTAGAGTGGTTCAGTACACGTTACAGGTCATCGCCATCATCGTATTCCTCTCGTCACCACTCGCTACCATCTCCATTTTCAATTCGACTGATTCGCCCGACAATGTGAACACGGCCCCAACTCGCCATCCGAATAAGAAACAACAGTATCGGATTTACATAAAATTTGGCAGTAGTACTGTAGAGCTGTGTTTGGGCCAGTTCGTTAGCAGTGTTTGAATTCTGAATATTGTTTGAGTTCGTGTAGTCTTCTGGAGCAGTAGTTGTGGAATTTCCGGACCTTCGACGCGGTTTACCCTGAAGACAATTTTCCTGGAGCGGATTTCGGAGTCCTCATCATTCGTGTTTTTAGTGGCTGGGATATATTTCAGCGGCATCTTCGAAGCGGAGTACGATACTTTTCAGCAGCAGCTTGGGATTCTTTCGACTACCCTGGGGCATTGGGTGTCCTGGGGTTCTACATAGAAAATTGGGAGCTGTTTCTTCTTGGAGAGGGGAGAAGGGAAACTCTGCTGCAATTTTCGTCTGACCCTTCGGCGTGTTCCATTATCCACTTTCGACCGGCATTCGTCATTGTTACGCTTCCGCACCAAATTTCGTCACTTCATTGATGGAGTTCGCGGACTTTCGTGGGACACGGACGCGTGATCTCGCATAAGACACGAACGACCTCGCGTGTTGATGAACGACTCTTTTTCATCCAACTACCACGTCATTCGGCAAGTCATCATGATCATACTGCAACGCGTCCTCGTTACCCGCCCACGCGACAGTTAATTATTCAACAATATCAGTCATCTTTATCGTTTTGTCACTTAGGAGTTTTCGTCATTGCCCATTCGGTTAGCTGAAGAAGTCGATTACCTTTAACGACTCCGATCAATTACGATCGTTGCGACATGTCTCAGCCGTTGGATAGAGTTTTAACCTCACGAAGTCTCGTCATCATTATGCTTATCAAAATTCGACGATTTGGATCGACCGCGATCGTTTCGATGCTTTTTAGCAATTAATTTCAGTTCGACCTCAATACCTCGTCAGGCCGACATAATCATTACGCTCGTCACATGGCAAAAGACTTACAGTCACATCGGGGAGTACTTTTAATGACTGTTCGGCCTCGATAAAGGGAGTGCCTTCCTTTAAAAATGGGAGAGTGTAAGGAATTACGATTTCTTACTAGGGCTCGTCATGACGAGTACACGCGAACAGTTCGCGTCAGCAGGATCGGCCCTTGGTTCTCGCGCCAAACCAGCCCCCGTTGACCTTTTCGGCCCCAACCTGATCCCGAGTCGCCTCGAACCCATTTTGACCCCGTCACCCTCGGGACTACCGAGCCCTTGATTGGTCCAACCCTCGACATTCAACCATAGTCAACACACCTATATATTGCGTAGGCCTAATTATTCTGGACAATTCTGTAATCGCGTTCCCCTATAGTATTCTGCGCTATACTCTGAGTTATAATTCATAACAATATCGATGATGATTTATGTGAGTCTTCCGCTCGACATGTTCCATTGGTGTTGTGTGAAGTAAGGCAAAGTGAGCTTCACCAGCAGCAGTACGTTAGACGATCCAATTAAAAACGAGGATCTTTCGGCCAGGGAAGTCCCGCCTCTGCCACGCAAGACGCGCCACGAACCTGCCCATTTCGGTGCTGCGGTGCCGCGCAAGTAGCATAGCCAGCCTACAGAACCAAATTTTGGCTCGAGTTTTGAGCCACAGCCTGTGCTCAGTCTGCCAACTGCTTCATTCTCACAGGCCCACCACTACCCCCATTATATAATCAAGATCCTTCATAGTCCCATTGCTTAGTTGGAAATGTGGTCTGTGATTGGCTAAGACCAGCAAGGTGCGCCCAAGGTCTGGTTAGCCCCGTTTTTGCCCCCACCGAGCCGCCACACTCTGGTTTGGTGTCTTCTCGCTTTCGTCTTCCGCCCCTCAATGCGATTGCGCCAAAGAAACCGCCGTAGAAAAACCGCAAATGACAATCACAAGCGGAACCTAGCCAGCTACAGTACAACCAAGAAGACTCGAATTTCAGGCACCACACAAGCAGGAATGCTCGCTCGTTACAGCAGAAAATGCTTCCGCTGGTACCAGCGGAGAAATTCCACATTTGGGCAGGTCTTCTCCTGGCCCGCCAGTTTGGGTTGCGAGACGGGGCCAGGCAGGCAGCGCAGCACGCAGTGCACCACCGCGTGGTCGGCGCAGGGGTCTTCCTCTCCGCGTCACCCCCTTCCGCACGTCACTGTCCGCTCCCCGCGTCGTCGCCCTCCGCGCCTGTGTCGCCCTCCGCCCCTGTGTCTTCCAACAACTCACCTTCGCCGTTGGCGCTTTCTACTACCCCACCTTCCCCCAATCCAACCACACCCTGTGCTGCTCACCCTAGTGCTGTATGCCATGTGTGTGACTGGTGAGTCGTGACGTGAGCGACATGCCTCGCTTCTCCCGCTCTGGTCCCATGAGAAGTGTGTCGAGCACACACAAACCCTAGCTTTAGAGTAGATGACCTAATCTAGAGGAGACTCAGGCGCAATCTCGTAGGGCTACGATGACGATGTTCGCGCGTCACGATGAGGGCAATCAGCTGTTGATGACATGGCCGCAGCCCGTCCCTTCCTTCACCCCGTCCCTCAACCCCTTCGTCAACCACCCGTTTGTTTCCACAAAGGCGTCCTCCGGCGCGCAATCGTCTAACGCGTCGCGATGTTTGAATTTATCCGGGCCGCTATCCAGCCCTCACGGTACCTACACCTTCGGGAAGGAAATAGGTCGGGGCAGCTATGGCGTCGTCGTCGAGTGCACGCACCGCCAGATGGGGCAGCGTTTCGCGTGCAAGATCGTGAGCAAGGCGCGGCTGAAAAGCGTGCTCGAGCGCCAAGTGCTCACGCAGGAGATTGCGCTCATGCGCGCGCTCGCGGGCCATCCCGGTATTGTGCGGTTGGAAGGGGTGTACGAGGACGCGTCGGACGTGTTTATGGTGATGGAGTATTGCAACGGCGGGGAACTTTACCAGAAAATTTTCCACGAGGGGAAGATGCCGGAGCCGCTGGCGGCGCGGGTCTTCCGCCAGCTATCCGACGCGGTGCGGTACTGCCACGCGCGCGGCGTCATGCATCGCGACTTAAAGCCCGAGAACGTGCTGCTCCACTACCCCAACCGCGCGGACGGCACGGCGGCCGGCGCGGGGCGGAACGTCCTTGCGGCGAGCGGAGCGGCGCGCAGCGAGGCGATGGCTGCGATTCAGGTTAAACTCGCCGACTTCGGATTGGGGCTGGTGCTGCCGCCTGGTGTGTTCGCGACGGTGTGCGTCGGCAGCCTCATGTACGAGGCGCCGGAAGTGGTGCTGGGCGAGCGCTATAATCACCAGGCGGACGTCTGGAGCCTCGGCGTGATTCTCTACGTGCTTCTATCGGGCGGGCTGCCGTTCATGGACAAGGACGACCGTCGATTGGCGCGCAAGATCTGCGAGGGACGGTACGAGATGCGCTTCAGCCCGTGGCCGTTTGTGTCCGACGACGCCAAGTCGCTCGTGCGACGTTTATTAGTTGTCGACCCGAATCGTCGCAGCAGCGTGGAGGACTTTATCAATCATCCATGGCTCGTCGCGCACTGCGGCCCCGCCGCGCCTATCGTTCTCGACGGCTCCGAGGTTCCGCTCCCCCGCACGCCCTCCGCGCTCTGGCGCGCGGACGCGGGGTCCGTTTCCGCCGCCATCCGCGCGGCCCTTCCCAACGCCAGCGCGGCTGCCGCAGCGGCTGCGGCGGCGGCGTCAAACGCGGCGTCGTCGGCGGCGGCGGCTGCGGCGGCGGCGGCGTCGCAGCTGAAGAGCGACGTGTGGGGGCCCATGGGCCGGCTGCCGGCCGTCAATCTCGGCCGGGGCGCGTGGGGAGTCGGTAGCGGCGCCGGCAGCAGCGCCGGCGGCAGCAGCGAGAGCGGGTCGTCCGCGCCGTCCGCCACCCCTTCCTCGAGCGTCACCGCGGCAGTTGCGGCGGCAGTGGCGCGCAGAAACGGAGCCGCGGACGATTCGAACACCGAGGCAGCGGAAGCCGCCCCGCGGGATACGTCCGCTGCTCCCGTTGCGCCCGCGGACGCCTCTCCGTCGGCGCGCATCCTTATGACGTCACTGTCGGAGCCAGTCACAGAGGGCCCCTCGTCTCCCTCGTCGTCGTACGCTTCGGCGCGCTCCAACTCGTGGGTGGAGCCGGCAGCCACCGCGGCGGACGGCGAGATGGACGGCGGCCTCGACCTGCCGCCTGCCGGTCCGCGCCGCCGCATGTGGCGGATGTGGCGCATGCGGTGGATGAAGCGCGGGTGGCGCTTCGGCCTGCAGACGGGTGCGCGGGGGGCGGAGAAGCTGGAGGCGGGCGGGGAGGGCGCGGGCGCGCGGCTTCCGCGCACGCGCGCGAATGTGTTTGGCGCGTGCTTTGGGTGCTTCTTTGCACCGCAGGCGGACTTCGAGACGAGCGCGGACCGGCTATGGGCGGTTGAGGACGAAGCGGGGCGGCCCGTGACTGCAGCGAGGGACGCTGGTGGCGTGACGAATGGACTTGATAATAACGGGGGAGGCGCGGTGGAAGGAGGGGAGATGGCTGGGCAGCGGAGGGCAGGGGAGGGGGGCGAGAGGGGTGCAGTGAAGCGCGCGGCAAAGACCCCCAAGGCGTATCAGCGGCTGGCGATGAGCGAGGAGGGGGGAGAGGGGGCGGAGTGGGGCGGGGCGGATGGGGAGGGCGGAGAGGAGGCGGGCGGAGTGCAAGTGCGGTGCAGGGGGGGGAGAATAGGGGAGAAAGGCAAGTGGATGGCGCTGAGGGCGACAGAGACATGAGGGAGTGGGGGGAGTGGTGGGGTTGTCGGGTGGGTGGGTGGGGGGGTGTGAGTCGGATGGTGTGGATAGATGGGCTGCAAAGGGGGCATGAGGGGGAGGCAAGGCATGCATGTGGCGCATGGGGCACAGAAGGGTGGGAGCACACGGAGCGAGAGCACGAGCAGCATGCACGAGGGGACGGGTTAGTTCGCTAGGGTAGGTGAGGGCGCCATGCCATGGCAAGTGCTTGGATGGTGCGTGGACGTGCAACACAAGGTTGCATGCCAGCGCCAGGATCGATAGACTGGTAGGGGTGTTTAACTTCTGGGGGGGGCTAATTGCGATTAAAAGCCCTTAGGCTTGGTGAATAACGATTTAGCAGGCTTTTCTTTGGTAATGTATTTTTTTCTGGCAGTTATTCCTCATTGCTACACGCCCTGGTGGTTAGTACTCATGCTCACGGAGGGCGCGCCCAGTTTGGTATCTCACGGTTGGGTACAATTCTTGCGATTCACCGCCTTGAACTATCGAGCAACGGTAAACTGTAAGACGTGAACTTAATGTGCGGACTGTCAGAAACCCAGTCACTAACCACTGGGTTAAAAGGGCTTGTTGAATAGCGGGTAAGTGCGCCCATAGCCCCCCAGGCTCTGCACCTGTGGCCCTTCCCCGAGGATCTCAAGGGCAACAAGCATACAGCAATATATAGAAAATAGGAAAGTAAAGCAGTTGTAGAATACAGTTGCAGGAGCGGTTATCGAGTCCCACAGCGACTCGATTGTCGCTTCGGTTACCATCCGTGCAGCTGTAACGGTCAGTCGCAACCTCCAGTTGCGACCCTTCGAGTCCCTTCGCGTTCTTTGTCCACCCCCTCGTGTAACCTCCGTTGACTCGCGTACCCGTTACGATCTTCCTCGAGTGTAGTGTTACACTTCAGAAACGCTCAAGTCCTTTGAGATATTTCCAACACTTTGTTACTAGTTCTTGTGAGACTGGTTGGTGCAGCCCCTTGTTGCCATCATTGACTGCACAGGTTGGATTTGAGGCAGCACCATGCTCTATTCAACTCTCAATCTGACTTTCACAATCAACTTGCTATTCTACTGTTAGCACATCCGGAGCAAGGAAATCAACTACAGTAGTATGCAATTCCTAACTAGAACGTTAGCAGGCAAGAGCTCCTAATCAAGTGCTGTTCACACAAGCATACCGCACCATACAATCCCCATCTCCTATCACCCCTATCATCCCCCCCATGCCCCCATGCCCCCATGCCACCATGTCCCCATGCCACCATGTCCCCATGCCGCCATGCTGTCATGCACATCACCTAGTGGCAAGCCACGTGCCTCCTGGTGCCAACCCCACCATCCCAGGTGCCACATGCATCCCGTCTCCCTGCTGCTGCTGCTGCTGCAGTTGCAGTTGCTTGCGCTGCTTGATTAGCGCTCTCGCTTCAGCCAGCACTCCTCCCTTCCCTCCACCGGCCAGGCCACTGCCCGCCACTTCACTGCCCCACTTGGGCACCGGCGGCCTGAAGGCAGGTGCAGAACCGGTGGAGTAGCCCGCAGCAGCAGCAGCAGCAGCAGCTGCAGCTGAACCACCCACATTGGCAGACGCTGCTGCCGCTGCAGCAGCCACACTGGCAGACGCACGGGGCCCTGCTGTCGTGGCACCAGCAAGGCGGAGACTCGCTGCGTGCGCTGACGCTGACTTGGCAGATGATGATAATGATGAGTTCTGACCACTGAAGGGGTTGCGGACGGGTGTGACAGGCACAGAAGCAGACTTGCTGCCAGCAGTGGTTACACCGTTACCCCCAGCAGAGGGAGCAGCATCAGGCTGGGCTGTGGAGAGAGCAGCAAAGGCCCGCACTATAGACCCCAGCCCTCGCGCCTTCCGCGGTCCCTGGCTCTGGCTCTGGCACTGGCTCTGGCTGTGGTGCTCTCCGCTCCTCACTCCCTCCTCCGCCCCTGCTGGCGCATGTTGGCTTGGATGTGCGGCTGACGACACCGATTTCACTGATGCTGACGCCATCATGTGCCCTCCTCCTCCTCCCCCTTCAACATGCCCCCCCATTTGCCCCGCACTCCCCCCCACCGGCACCCTCACCATTGCCCGCATCTTCAGCACTGACGTCAGCGCTGGCGTCACCGCCTCCCCGTGGTACGGGCTGCTACCCCCGCTGCCGGCGTTGCTGCTGCCGCTGACGCTGCTGGCGCTGCTCATAAAGGGGGACCACCCCTCCGTCACGCTGCTCGCGCTGCTGCTCGCGCTGGGGGACTTGCAGCTCAGATACGCGCTCTCCTCCCCCCCCACGCTCGCGCTCGCGCCTGTGCTTCCGCCGCCGCCATCCCCGCGCGCGCTCCCTGCGCCCTCGCCGATTCCGGCGGCTCTCTGGGATGTTTCCCGCCTGCGAAGGCTCTTTTCCTTTTCCGCCTCGCCGCTTCCGCGCATGGGGAGCACCAGGGGAGGGACGAGCTTCCCCCCCGCGCGCGGGTTGCGCGGAGATGATAGGCGCGGGGACTGGCGCGGGTCGACGAGCGACGAGGGGGAGGCGGAGGACTTGGGCGACGGGCGCGCGTCCAGAGGGATGGACCTGGGCGACTCGGGCGGCTGCATGGGACGCGTGGCAGGGGACTGGACCTTTTTCTTCTGCCCGTGCTGCCCGAGCTTCTCCAAATCTAGTTGCTCCAGCGTCCTCGTCGACGCGCCGCAACGGCCGCTGCTGCCCTTCTCACCAGCACTGCCGCTACCGTTCGCCGCCAACCCTGCGCTCGCCGCCGGCTTGCGCGCCGGGTGCGACGCGAGGAACTGGCTCGACGCCCGCCGCGCGTCCATCCCTGCCGAGAGCCCGCCGGTTGCGGCGCCACTTGCGCCGCTGCCGTGCCCCGCCAGCGAGTCGTCTGGCTTGGCGGCGCGGATCGCCTCCATCCACGCGGGCTTCGCGAAGCCGCGCTTGGGGGCGGCGGAGGAAGCCGCGGGGGAGTCGTCCGCGGAGGCCGCGGGGGCGCGGCGGGGGGAGGAGTTGCGCGGGCGGAGGTAGGAGAGGAGCTCCGGCACGGGGAGGGAGCCGTCGGGTTGGGACAGCCGAGCCTGCAGCTCAGGTAAGGGCGGCGGCTGCTTGGTTGGGTCGAGAGGCGGCTCGGTCTTGATGCAGGGGATGTCGACCGTTGTGACTTCCGACGGTGACGTGGCAGATGCCGGGACGCGAAGCGGAACAGTGATGACTGACGGCTTGGCGGTGCGGGACCGAGGCGTGGAGGAGGAAGACGATTGGCGCCGGAAAACCGGGAAGCACGAGGGCGCTGCGTCCATGAAGGACGACGAGGCGCGGCTCGAGTCACCGCCTCCTGCGGCGGAGGATGCGGAGGGCGAGTCGAGCGGAAGGTACGTGGGAGTGCCTGGGATGGACATCGGGGTCGAGTCGCCCGAGGGCGCGTCGGCGACTGTGACGTTAGTTGCGGCGCGCGATTTGCGCTTGGGGGAGAAGAAGCGGAAGTGGGACGCGCGGGGACGAGAGGACGGCGCAGTGGGCGTGGCGGCCTGCGAGCTGCTGGGCGTCTGTGACTGCTGCAACTGCGATTGCGCCGAGCTGCTGGCTGGCGGGACCTGGATTGGCGGCGGCACGTGCGGTGGGTGGTTCGACTGTGGCGGCTGCGGCGGCGGCGGCGGCTCGTCCACGTCCATGGCGCCCGCCTCGCGGGGCGGCGCTGTTGCTGTTGCGGTCTCGCGGTGCCGCGGCCGTCCGCGCACCTGCTGCTCTGCGGCGGACGCGCCCCTCGTGGACTTGGTCGTCGCCCGCCCCTCGCGATGCGCGCGTGGCTGAATCGTTCGCCGCTGCCGCTGCATCGGCTTCACCTCCTCCCCGCCTTCCGCTTGCGCTTGCGCCGTTCCCGCCTGCTGCGCTGGCCACTTCCGCTGCGCGCCCGCGCCCGCGGGCGCTTGCCGAGCCTGCTTCATGGGCGCGGCCATGGCGGAACCGGCGGAACCGGCGGATGCGGCGGAAGCAGGGAGGGCTGAGTGGTCGGGATCGACGTCCATTGCTCTGCCCTGGTGCGCGGCTGTCTGCCCCGCTGCTTGCCCCGCGCTACCCACGCGGATCTTGTTGAGGGTCGCCAGGGGCGCAATTACCGCCCCTTCCCCGCCCGCATCGGTGCTACCCGCGCGCGGCAAGTGCTGCGCCTTGCCTGCCTCCGCGTGCGCCTTCACCCCGTTCTCCCCCGCTGCCGCTGACTTCCGCGCAGCCGCGGGCGCCTTGGGCGTCATGCCGGGCATTGGCTCGGCAGAAACCGCGGGAGTGGGGGAAACGGCGGGGCCGCCGCAGTGCTGCACGATCCAGGGGTGCTGCAGCGCGGCTAGCGCGGAGGGGCGGTGCGCGGGGTCGGAGCGGAGGAGCGAGCGGATGAAGTCGACCGCCTGCGGGGACACGCGCGGCCAGGGGTCGGCGCGGAAGTCGGGGGAGTTGCGGAGGATGCGCAGAAAGAGCTCCTCGTCCGTGCTCCCCCAGAACGGCATGTACCCCGCGAGCGCCAGGTAGACAATAACGCCCAGCCCCCACAGGTCGACGGCGTGGCCGTACGGGCGGCGGCACACGACCTCGGGCGACATGTAGATGGCGCTGCCGTACATGCCCACGGCGCGCTGCCCCGGGCGCAGCAGCACGGCGAGCCCGAAGTCCGCGAGCTTGAGGTGCAGGCGGCTGGAGCCGTCGGCGGGCGCGGCGAGGAGGATGTTCTCCGGCTTGATGTCACGATGCATCACGCCCACCGAGTGGCAGTGCGCCAGCGCGAGCAGCACTTGCCTGCGGGGTCGGGCCGAGGGGGGCAAATAAACAGAGGCGCGCAATGGGAGAGACAGTGGGTGGTTTCGATCAATCAAATTGGGTCCTTCTATTTGCGCCCGGGTCTGGAAGCTTGTGCGAGGCAAGGTTGCTTTGCTTTCGAAACCCTAAGCGGCGAGCGGGCGTCAGCTAGCCGCAAGCTGAGTTAACCCTAATTGCGGCCTTCGCACGCACCTGGCGATTTCGGCTGCGACGGGCTCTGCGACGGGCGAGCGCGCGATGAGGAAGTCGTAGAGGTCGCCGCCCTTGCAGAGGTCCATGACGAGGTGCACCGCCTGCTCGTCCTCGTACAGCCCGCGCAGCTCCACCACGTGCGCGTGCCCGCGCACCCGCCGGTTCGCGTGCACCTCGCGCTGCAGCTCCTCCAGCGCGTCGCGCCGCTGGAGCTTTGACTTCGGGACGCTCTTGCACGCCGCGACGGGTATCCCCGTTTGAAGGTCGCTGCATACGGTTACTACGCCCGTGCCGCCCTGCCCCAGCTGCGTGCCCAGGTGGAAGCGCGTTCTGATGTCGGACCGGCTCGCGTTCGGGAAGAGCCGCTCCGGCGTCTCCATAGCTGCGGTTTTACTTAAGTTTTACGGGTAACTAACCCTTTTTAGGACGAGCGTTAATCGCTAAAGCTTGAAGCTGTGACCGTCAAGTAGACCTAACCTGCGCGCAGGGTCACTCCATTTAGAAACACATGCACGCACGGTCTCATGCTAAGGTCCGCGTCTCGGCATACTGCAGACTAGAGCTCAAATAACGACTAGCTCGAAATACCTCTCCGGAAGCTACTGTACCAACTTACGAACAAAAGGTGAAATGTCTGTGTTGTCGATGCTTTTACGCATGGCGGTCGAGATGGCTTCGCAAAGCAGCCAGGGTTTCCACACGGAGTGTCGTGCATCTCCAGGTTGGTGGTGAGTGGTGGTGGGTCTGCTTGGCTTTGTCCCCTACAGCCCGCCCTTCCATACAGTGTACGAACTGCTGCTGAAACGTGCTGTGCCGTGCGAGGGAGGGTGTGAGAGAGTGAGTGAGTGAGTGGAGTGGAGGGTGGTCCTTCCAGCGGCGGCTTTGGGTTTGGCTTGGGCTGGGATGTGCGGGAGTACCTCTCCCACCATTTCAAATTTCTCTAACTCCGGCGAAGCGCGCACGACGGCCGACGGACCGCACTCGTGAGGCTCGATGGCCAATGAAAGAGCGTCATTTGGTGAAGTACGGACAGCGCGTTGGGCTTATGAGGGGCGAGAAGTGCCTCGGGTTTGGGCTTGTAGAGGGGCTGTGCGAAGCACGGCGCAAGCGATGGCAGAGGGAGGGGTACATTCGCAAGGGTCGTCGTGATTGTCCGACAGTACGATGCCTACGACGCATTTCGCCACTCGTCATCACCATCGCACGGTCTGCGGTTCGGCGACGACCAGACTTGAGGTGGGGGACCTGATCCATTTGTAGGAATAGGGTCATCGTCTTTGTTACGAGGCCAACAATGGCTAGAAAGAAATGCTTATAAAACAACAAGATTACTCCTACCAATGATAAGTTATGATGCCAAATGGGTCAATTCATCTGCAAAATGCCATCTAGTCAAGAAATATTTTCAACGTTAGAAACGTGTGGATATCATAAATCTTGTATTATATTCATAGAGAATCATATAATATGATGGATGGAATGTGTATAAATGCATCAGCTAAGATGACAGAGGTGGCATGGACTACCGTAATCTCTTAGCAATAGGACCCTAGGAATCTCTAAAATTTCAGGGAAAATATTTAGGGTGAACACTTACATGGATGGAAATTAATAGCATCTAATGCACATTTATTTCTTACGTAGAGAAAGGGTTTGTCATACATGTAGAGTTCACAATGTGAAATTTACCTGGGGTGCATTATTTGTATCGAGGGGGTCGGAATCTTATCGACAAACCTGTGAAGCCACTACATAGACGCGCGCGACCTTCCTGGACCTTTTCGGCTGCCAGCTCCATCGCGCTCACACGAGGTGAGAGCATCTTGACGGACAAAACATCGGATTATACGGGGGCAAGTTCCATTCAAGGAATCTACCCACTGATGCCCCCTCTTAACCAATTCATTGTGCCAACGAGGCAATGCCTCGTGCTCCGTCGTGAGCGACGTTGAGGACACGTCCCTCCCAATCTCGTCTTCTAAGGGGGGTAGTCGCAGCGACCTGCCTCATTTTGAAAGTTTCAAGCAAGCAGAAAGCGAATGGAAGCTTGCCTCCTATGGCATCCCTTCCTTCTGTTGTAGCCAGGCCTAGCATGCTCTCGATAACGAGCCATGTCGGCTCTTCAGTTTCTAATACAGTCTCAAACTGCTAGACAAACCTGTTCTTACAGCCGCGTGTCGCACATCTCATCCGTTCCTGCTCCGCCGACTCCTCCGGCGCCTCCAACACCTCTTGCTCCCCCAGCTCCTCCCGCGCCACCAACGCCACCCGCTCTGCCAATGGTGTTCCCTAATTTCGACCATGCCTTTGAGCCGACTGCCTCTCATGACCTCATGCCCTCTGACACTGAGCAAAATGAGGATGTGGAGTCGAGGCGCAATTTCCCTGTGCCAACGTTCCCCGACGACCTCGTCGGCCGCGGCGTAGAGGCCAGATGTCCACACGATTCGCACGCACCAGAAAATTTGCAGCAGGATTACAAAGCATTGTCAGTCAGCATGCACGATGGCAGAGATGAATAGATGGCTTCAGAAAATGCGTGAGGAGAAGCTTTCCATCCGTGCAGTTGCGCGTGAGGCTGGTGTAGAGCCTGTAAGCATCCGTCGATGGAGGGCAAAGGAGGCCGAGATGGTGCGCACCATTGGCTCCAGGCGACGGCTCAGTGGTAGTGGTCGTGCCGCAAATTACCGAGCCATGGAGCTGGCTATGTACAAGAAGTTCCTCAGCTACTGCTCCTGAGGCCTGGTTGTCCCTATATCCCTTCTGCATATCTGGAGCCGCGACAACATGAAGTTTCACCATCCTGGCGTGGACTGGAGGTCATATCCAAATTGGACGTTTTAGTTTCGCGTCAGGTGGATACTTACCGTCAGAGTCAAGACCAAGATTGGACAGCGCCTTACACGAGGTACGTTCCCTGTTGATAAGGTGGTTGTTGTTCATCCTGAGAGAGTGTTGGTGTTGCGTGTCACACGCTGAGTGCTAATGCTAGCTTACTAATTGTGTGCGCTTGTGTGGCAGACTGCAAACCAAAGAGTGAGATGTTCTGGCATTTTGTGCTAAGAAATGTCATCAACAGCGGCATCGATCACTGGAACATGATCAACGCTGACCAAACTCCTGTCTTCCTCGAGTTGCCGTTCGAGCGCACGCTGCACTCACGTGGAGACCGCTCTGTACACGTTCGCATCGCCGGATACAAGACGAAGCGTATCACGGTTATGCTGGAGGTTACGGCCACCGGGAGGAAGCTTCCTCCCATCGTGATTTTCAAGAGGGCCACCGTCTCCAACATTCGAGCGCCCCCAGGTGACCAACTGTGGTGCGTCTGAGCAGTTGCTATCACCTCGCTCATTCGATCCCTATGTCTCTTTGCAGGTATCCTCATCTGAGCCTAGAAACGAGGCTAAATGGACTCCGGCCTTGTCCAGGTCTGGGTGCAGCATGTGTTGCTGCCTTTCATCAGCCCCCCTGCACGTGTCAATAGGTCCAAGACCTTGCTGGTCCTGGATTCGTACCGCAAGCACCTAACGGACGCCGTTCTTGGCTCGTTCAGGTGGCACATCACTCCAGCCATCATCCCATGTGGCTGCACTGCACTACTGTAGCCACTGGACGTCGCTATCAACCACGCCTTCAAAGTGAACGTGCGACGGCACTACAACGACGGATTCGCCACCAAGGGGATCGAAACCTTGATGACTGCTGGTAAGCGCCCATATCCCACTCGCTACTGCCATCGAATTCCCGTCTTTCGCAAGTACCGTATTCACGCCAAATGTGACCTTCTGTTTCCTTTCTTTGTGTACATGTTTGAGCAGGCAACCTGAAGATGCCCCGGCCAGAGAAGCTGCTTTGGTAGGTTTCGGCGTCGTGGGATGCGGTCCCCGAGGAGACCATCATCCGTGCCTTCAAAACTTGCGACATCAGCAACCACCCGGATGGCGGCGAGGACCATCTGGTCCTCGCGCACATGCGGGATGCTGCGCATGTGGAGGTGTACGATGATGTCCAGGCCGCCGGCAATGTCGATGAGTGGTTTAACCCCCTCTACATGACGGGCGAGGAGGAGGAGGGGGCGGCGGAGGGGGAGGAGGCAGAGGAGGAAGTAGAGGAGGAGGAGGACTAAGAGGAGGAGGGTGGGGAGATGGAGGTGGATGAGGAGGAGTAGGACGCAGAGGAGGCGGCGAAATAAGAGGAGGAGGAGGGCGGGGGGATGGAGATGGCGGTGGAGGAGGAGTAGGAAGTGAGGGAGGGTATGGCAGTGGTGGCAGCAACAATAGATGTGGTGAGAGTTACAGAGATCCTTTTGCAGCGGCAACAACACCCTATAACAAGGCTGAAGGCCCTTTTTGACTGGCTGTGAATCTGTGCCCACGAGTGGCGGTGCCCTTCGGGATGTCAAGTAGTGAGCACCTGTGAATATGATTTGTTATCAAGAGACCCTTGGTCCGGAATGAAGACCCATGTATCGAAATTGAGAGTTGAATGTTAGATAGAAAGAGAGTACACAAGGATATACCTCAGGGTTGTACCCTCTAAGAGACTACCCTATACAGTCTATACAAACATGACAAGTACACATGTTTGACACACCCCCTAGACTGCATAGGGGAATGTCCTAAACAAGCAGCTCAGGGCGGCACTACTAGTCCAACCTCTGAGACAAGGGTCTGAGAGACCAGTCAGAAGGAGTACAGACAAGGCAAGAGCAAGAGCAGGGCGGCACTACTAGTCCAGCCACTGGGAGAGGACACAAGTCCAGTCTGAGTATACATATAAAGGACAATACAAAGTCAAGGTCCTAGCAAGTGAGAGGCTACAGGAACTAGACCAAGCTGTACACAGTGCCGCTGATGATCTTTAGGCGCAAGCGCCTTCGTAAAGATATCAGCTGTGTTGGCACCTGAGGCCAAGTGTACTACGCGAGCCTGACGTCGCTGCTGCAGCTCACGCAGGAGGAAGTACCGCAGCTGAATGTGCTTCGCTCTGCCCTCGAGTCGAGGCTCCTGACACAGGAGGATCATGGCCCTGTTGTCAGCGAACAGGACCGGGGCAGAGCTAGGCCGCTCACCTAAGTCAGTGAGCAAGAAGGTCAGCCAGCGGAGCTCCTGTGCCGCCATGGCACCAGCGTAGATCTCAGCCTCACAGCTGGACTGCGCCACAGACGAGGAGCGGGTAGCTCTCCACGAGACGGCAGCTGAGCCAAGGCTGAAGCAGTAGCCCTGGGTAGACCTGAGTGTCTCGGCGTCGTCTGCCCACGAAGCGTTTGTGTGTCCAGTAAGGACCACTGGCCTGCGTCCTCCTAGCACTAACCCCATGCCCGATGTACTAGCAAGATAACGCAGAACCCTCTTAGCGGCAGACCAGTGCTGCGGTCGGTGTCTGCCTGTGGCCACAAAACGAGCCAGGATGCTGAGAGGGTATGCGAGATTTGGGCGAGTGTAAGTCATCAGGTACATGAGGCAACCCACCAGCTCTGCGTAGGGGCCGCTGGGCTCTACCAACTCCTCAGACACTGGAGCGGAGAGTCTGTGGTCTACAGGCAGAGGGGTGGGCTGTGCAGAGGAGAACTGAAGGCTGAACCTCTGAAGGACCTGGCGCACCAAGTGTGACTGAGTCAGGGTGATGGTG